ATGTACTTCAGTGACAGCAGGCTTAGCCTGTCCAAGCTGATGTGGCTCGCAGATCGGAGGTACCAGTATTGGCTGTCAGGAAGGTTGCTTGAGTGTGTGTGTGTGTGTGTGTGTGTGTGTGTGTTTGTGTGCGTGTCTGTGTGTGTGTGTGTGTCTGTCTCTGTCTCTGTCTCTGTCTCTGTCTCTGTCTCTGTCTCTGTCTCTGTCTCTGTCTCTGTCTCTGTCTCTGTCTCTGTCTCTGTCTGTGTGTGTGTCTGTGTCTGTGTCTGTGTCTGCGTCTGTGTCTGCGTCTGTGTCAGTGTCTGTGTCTGTGTGTAAAGACGGTTTAGTTCCGGGGTTCGGGATGTTTCAGGCTTGTTGGATGCATGGGGACTTAGGGTTGAGTGCAGGGTGCCGGGACCAGAAGTTGACTGAGGGCTTCGACCTTGGGGGGACTGGGACTGGGAGGCCTGCATTCGCTCTGATAGGGCTCAAGTTTAGGGTTTTAAGAGGCCTGGTTTCAAAAAATGGGGTCAGGGTTTAGGAACCCTTGGGACTTCATGCATGACAGTTGTTGAAGGCCCAGCTCATCCTTCACAGGCAGGTTCAAGGCTAGTCTTACTCTAAACCCACTGTCCACTGTGGCAAAATCGTAGAAATCAAGCCCGAAGCTGCCAAATTGAGTTCTGCAGCTGTGCGCAAAGTTTTTGAAAGCCTCCGTTGCGCTGGGACGAGCGTCCTAGGCTCAATGCATCTTAGATCCTACCAGAAGAAGGGTGACATCGGAGTTCGGTTTAGGTTCATCTAACGCAGCTCCCCTGCTATTATCCCTCACCCATGCACAGCATCCCCCACCAGCCCATCTGGGGTGAGGCGTGAAAATTTCCATCGTCTACTACATGCTGGTCAGCGTGGCCATGATATGTTGCCTAGCTGCAGCTTGGGTTGAGGGTCTAGGGTTTATAGGCTTCAGGTGCGCAAGGAAGCCCCGAAAGCCCTGTAGTTCCCAAACCCTGCAAGTCTGAACAGTCGAAGCCCGACTGTCGAAATTTGCCAACCCGAAGCTCAATGTGGCTTAGGGTTTAGGGTATACAGGGTGTAGGGCTTAGGGTATACAGTTAGGGTTCGACAAAAGGGTGGGAGAACAGTGGTGCACTGGCCCGCCTGTGTTTCTGCAGTTGCCCTTTGTTAGGATTTGGACAGGCACGGCATTGCAATGGAATATAATGCAACCCTCACCCAAGATTCTTAGTGCTAATCCATTTAAATCCGCGACGCAGCATGCCCCCGGAGCTGAGTTCAACTGATCGGTGCCTTCATTCGCTGGCACGTCCGCTTGGCTTAAGGCTTCGCTTGAGGTTTGTATAGAGTGTAGGAGAGAAGGGCGAAGGAATGCGAACTGTTTTCTTTGCATAGCAGGCATCGCTACATACTTGTGTGTCAGGTTGATAGATAGCTCTAAACCTAAACCTTTTTGTGGTGGCAGGAGGGGTGGGGACGGCTCGGGCGTCGGGTCCTCGACCGGAGGTTGCTGTGCATGGGGGGGGGGGGGGGGGTGATTCCAAAGATTGGAGTACCTTTTTTGGAGGGTCTCATACTAAGGATTGCAGTATGCGTTGGGGGGTCTTTATGGCTCACTCCAGCATGTACCATGCTTGGATATTGCATTGCAAGCACCCAGCGGCCCCAAAGCTTTCCTCTGAGCCAAAAGCTTGCCTCGACACCCTAAACCCTTCACTCTGTGATAGGCGGGTGGCAAGAGAAAAGGCAAAATTACCGATAATCCTCATTGCGCTAGACCTAGAAGCTTCCATAACCCCGGGAATTGACGGCTCGGGGCCTCTGGTTGTAGGGAGGTCTCGGGTTCAGGGAAACTAACTACGCCCTAGGTCTTCTCGGTCACCCTCGGGATTGTGACGCTCATGCGAGTGCATACCGGACTTCTCTTCACTCGCGTGGACCAAGGACCGGGCTGCAACCCAAACATCCACAGCACCATGTCATCTTTAGGTGATTTTATGCAGGCTTCAGCTAGAACTAGAGCGTGCACGACGAGGGTCGAAGGCTTGGGACGCCCCGCTTGCTTTCAAGGGTGTACAAGATTTACAAGGCTGGATTTGCGAGTTGTTCGGAAGCATCGGCTTCCCTTCCGTCGCAGGACTCGCCTTGATGTGCAGGCTGCTTGACTTCTCCTTTGCTCGAAGTAGTTGCTTTTTATGTCTCGCTTGAAGGCTTGCATTGCGTCGGGCATATGGTATGGCTATGGCTCAACGCTGAGGGACACGATGGCAGGGGCCAGTCTCCGGCGTGGGTTTCAATGTCAGGTTGTGTTGCGATTCGGTACAATGCGGGTTTCTGGCGAAGCTCTTTTAGCTCCGGTGGGCAGTTCCGCTCGTGTCTACTAGAGAATGATTCGATGATGGTAACTGTCATTGAAATGAAACTGAGTGTTTTTTGCATCCAAGGTGGAATACGAAGTGGACGGAATGCACGGAGATGGCCGAAGGCATTGCGGCTCAGAAGTGCGCACGTAAATCGGTAACTAGGCTTGCCCTCTAGGACCCTCGGAGCTCGGGCAGGAGGTGCAATTGCTGCATTCACCTGTTGAAAGCTCGAAGGGGGCACAGGGTTGTTGGGGTGCACGTGATGGGCTTGATGATCCTTTCTATGAAATACATCGCAGTGCTTCCTCCCGTGGAAAGAGGACACAGCTATGGCTTCGTGTAGGCTCCAAGAAGCCTCAAGTCCATGGCCCTAGTTGTAAGAGTCGAAAGCACGATGCCTTTGGAGCTTGACCCACGAAGATGTATTTTCATCGGGCCCCCCGCATGTCCACCCCCCAGTTGAAAGGCGTCACCTTGCAGCAAGCTGCAAGTCACTGGCGCCCTGGTCTCTTCAGTTTCGATTTCCGGCTCTCAGCGCTTTCAAGCGTTCGCTACTAGGGCTTAGGGGATGAAGGAGTGGAGTGGTACCAGAACTGCTGCTGTCATTTTGCCACCCTTCCCTGGCAACCAGCAGTAAGGTTTGTAGAGCTTGGCTTCATCGGCCCATAGTGTAGCCTACGCCAGAACTAGCCTCACCATATTTTTCAGTTTTAGGGATGGATTCTCCGACCACGGCCCAGTCTATGTGCGTGTATCTCTATATATATATAACATATACATATATGTAATATGTATATATATATACATATGTATGCAAACGCATGTGATTCACATAGCTTTGATTTTAAAGTTATCTTTCAACTTCATGGGTATGCAAGTATACATGGCAATACACTACAAGTTTGCCAATGTAGACCCCAAGCATTGAGCGACCAGGTGGAGATGCCGGAGCATTCCAGAGCCTCAGAGCACACCCAAAGATACCCAGAGCCCGGAAGTCCAAAAGCGAGAGAGCTTCGACTTGCGCGAACCCAGACGTCCAAAAGCAATGACAGTCAATATAGGGGCTTTAATAATTAGAAATAAGGGAAACTACTAGTCATTATTCACGCCCCATGCCGGGCCGAGAGCGCACAATGTTGGAGCCCCCTAGTGTTGACGCACTGTTTGGGAAAACACCAAGTAGAGTTATATACTCAAAATTTGAACTGCGTAATAAACTAAATAACAAATAGACATATACATATATACATACATATACATATACATATACAGATACATATACATATACATATACACACGTATATATGTATATATATATATATATATGTGTATATATATCTGTATATATATATACATATATTCATATATGCATATGTGTATATATATATATATATGTTTCTACACAAATTCGCTCGTGGATTCGTCGCATGCCTGGGATACTAGCTCAAGGTGCATCCCACTCTTGACCGACATCATGGGAGTGATGCCTGGCCGCTGCTAGTGGGAGGTTCAGGGTTTTGGGTTTAGGGTAGTTGAACCCTTCCGGTAAGAGGGTGGGGCCCTTTTGCTTCGTAGGTCTTCAGCCAGGATTTCAGCGCTAAACCTACACCCCCTAACCCCCGGCGCCATAGGAACTGAGCCTCCCAAAGCCCCTAAATCGCCCAAACAACCTCAAGCCCCTTCTTGGGGCACCTATTATCACATGGGGGCCCTGTAAAATCAGCACCTCAGCTCCCCTAGGACGGCGCCCTGCTCTGCCTTCAACTGGGCATACGTCCTCGGCTTGATCTGCAGCTTGGCTGTGGGTTTTTGGAGGGCTAGAGGGCCTGGACGGCCTGGACTGCTCATTGCAGATTGTAACAAGAGACCGCGGAAGAGTCACAGGAGGGTTTTAGGGTCCATGCTGTACTCGTGTCTTTCGGGGTACCAAGGCAGTTAGTTCTCACCAGCAGACACCCACGCGAGGCCTTCTATCTTAAACCGATTGTAAGCCCTACAGGACTAAACCCTACTCTGACCCCCGAACCATGAGCATTCTCAGGACCCTAATCCCTGGCAAAACTCCACAGCGCAGCTGCAGAGATCAACAAACCGGTATGCCCAAGGTCACTTCAGGTTCGGAGGGATCTTTTGTTTGGGGCTTAGGGTTTGTTTTTAGGGCTTAGGGTACCTAGTTCAACAGCTCAACAGAAGTAGTGCAGGCAAGTCATTGGCCCTGTTACCCTGGACCAGGCCAACCGCTTAGGACTTTGTAACCTGCGTCGAAGCCCCAGTTATATTTTTGTTATTCAGGGTTTAGGTTTGGAGCTTGTTGCCGGCAGCCTCCTCAGTCCGTGCTTACAAAAGGGTTTGGAGCTTGCGCTGTTGAGCTTGGGTGCTGCTGAGTAGGTCACCTTTTGACCTGTCTTGGGTACTCCGCAAAACCCCCTCTCGCTGGTTCTTACTAGGGAATGAAGAAATTTACTTCGGCACTTTAGAAAGTCCCGGGTAGATAGGAGGATATAAGGTACCTAATGCCCTACAAACCATGTAACTACAATGGGAAGGTTGAACAAAAAGGGGAGGGAGGGTTTACTAAAAAAGGGGAGGACAAGGCCTCTTATCAGCTCTGCAAAAAATGACGTCCCCTTGTCATTAGGTACCCGCATGATGTTTGAAAGAACTTCCCGCGCCCGGAACTAAACCCCTTAACTTTGAGGAATGCTCCTTGAACCATACTACAGATGCTGCTGTGACTTAGGGTTATTTCCTGGATTGACGGCTTTTGGATTCTCTGAATTGTCAACAGAACTTCTGGGGGAGGGGATGACTCGATCAACCTTGGCTAGGTGCGGTCTGCGATGAACCCTGGAAAGCCCGGCCCTAGATCCCTATGTTTAGGGTGCAGGGTTGCCCTAACCGTTCCGTCGTATGTTTGTGTGTACCCTATGCAGACCCAGACCGAGGCACCATGGCCATCATCCTGAATTTCACTCTCCTGGCTGCCAGCATTGCGATGCTGCTCCAGCCCCTTGCTCAATAAACACTCGGATCCCCGGTGCTACTCTTCCCTTTTCGTGTGTAGGCTTCGGATTCCTTTTTCTTGTAAGAGAGAAAACGAGGGTGCGGGAACTTAGAGAAGCCTAAGCCCTAAACTACTACTAAGCCCTAAACAATCAGCACGCCCCTAAACAGCGCGTCATTCTGAACCCCAGACGACTGGCACAGGTATTTCAACAGCACCAAGCACAAGCCTGAGTACCGGCAATACGCTTTCTACCTCCACGCGGTCGCGACGCCCCTGGGCGTGCAGTGAAGTGGGCTTTTGGGGGTGGCTTTCCGATAGGCTTACAGGTAGTGTTTATAGCTGCTCAACACGTCATGTGGCTGAAGGTGCCACAGCCGTTCATGCAGGTGCCTTGCCTACTTGCGTCTGTGTGCGAGCGTGAGAGTGAAACATCCTTATAGATCCCATAAACCCCAAAAGTCCGAAACGCGAAATCCACAGGGGCATCATCTTCCTCACCTTCTTGGCCTGGAGTTTCTTAGCGCTGCCAGCGCTGGACCACATCGGGGCATCCTCAGGCCCTCCTGGCATCGTTTCATGGGGCCTTACTTAGGATCCGCTGCTTCCCCTGCCCAAACTACCCCTTGTAAAGTTGGGCTCGAGTGGGGGGCAGTGAGGGTGAGGGTGGGGGCAGTTCAGAATCCATGGGGGAGGCGTCCTGGCACTAGACTGGACAATAGGGTTCAGTCAGGGCAGTCAGGGTCAGGGGTTGTTTGCTATTCAAAAGATGCGCCTGTATAGAAACCCAAAGAGGGTGGCCAAATGCCGAGCCACTGAATACTGTTGACTGCTTTATTGTTCTGGCTTCAGCGTAACCTTTCGATGCCCTTCACCTTAGAACCCCACAGCACCTTCCATGATGCAGTCGAGTGCGGTCTTGTCAGCTAGGCAAAAGAGGCCGAAACCCCAAACCCTGCTTGGAGGTTCATGGGTATTTATAAGCAGCGTTATAAGCATGTATATAGTCACTATGGTTATAAGTAGGGTGAGAAGTCTGGGAACTGTAGCGTATATAGCCTTACTTAGGGTACGGATAGCCCTAGTTACTTGGAGGTTCATGGGACTTAATTTTAACGCTACGCGACCCGCCTCGGCCCGGCCCAGCGCATCCGCGTGAGCATGGTGATTCCGCAGCGCCCAAGTCGGGTTTAGGGTTCCGGGTTTATGGTTTATGGTCTGGGGTTTAGGGTTGAGGGTTAGTTTAGGATTGAGGGCTTAGGGCTCAAGGTTCTTGCTTTGGGGTTTAGGGTTTTTTTGGGTTTAGGGTTCAAGAGACGGTTCGGCTTGGATTGATCGTAGGGTTGAGCCAGGCCTCTCAGGGGGGGTAGGGGTGGAGGGGGAAGGGGGGCAGAGGGGAAAGGGGGGGGGGAGCTAAGATTGAAGGTTTCGGGTTTCGGTTACTCTTCGTCCCGGAGTTGAGCCTCGAAAACCGGGGGGCGAGGTGGGGGGGGGGTGGGGGGGGGGGTGGGGGGGGGAAAGGGGGGGGGGGCCCGCTGGGAGGGGCTTCAACTGCCTCTGGTTCCTGGCGAACCGTCCGCTTGCGGACCCCGGTTTCCCAGGGGGGGTACCCATTTGAGGCAAAAAAGGGGGGCCTCGGCGGATTTGCGGCCGTGCTCACACCAGTGAGCCTCCGGCCCTCAAGCCAGCGCGTCGGAGCAGGAAAACTCCGCCTTTCACAAACACCTTATGTGAGCAAGCGCCAAACCCCCAGCCATTCAATTAAGCAAGGGGAAAACCCTCGAGCCCAGCCGCTCATGTGGCTTTTGGGGGGGAGGGACTATGTGGGGGGGGTGGGGAGGGGGGTCGGTCGGGGGGGGGGTTAGGGGGGGGGGGGTAGGGGCGGGGGGGGTAGGGGGGGGGTGGGGGGGGGGGGGGGGGGGGGGTAGGGGGGGGGGTAGGGGGGGGGTAGGGGGGGGGCAGGGCGGGGGTAGGGGGGGGGGGGTAGGGGGGGGGGTAGGGGGGGGGTAGGGGGGGGGGTAGGAGGGGGGGGTAGGGGGGGGCAGGGGGGGGGGAAGGGGGGGGGGGGGGGTGTAGGGGGGGGGGGTAGGGGGGGGGGGGGTAGGGGGGGGGCGGGGGTAGGGGGGGGGGGGGTAGGGGGGGGCGGGGGGGAAGGGGTTTGGGCGGTGAAAAAGGGGGGGGCCCTGCTGGGAAGGGCTGCAACTGCCTCTGGTCCTGGCGAACCATCCGCTTGCGGACCCTGCTCACCTAGGGGGGGTACCCATTTGAGGCAAAAAAAGGGGTCCGAAAAAGGGCTTGGGGCTTGAAGGAGGATTTGGAGGGGGGTGCCTGTTCTGACTACCAATACACCTTCGGCCCGAGGCCTCGGCGGATAACCCAATCATAACTGTACTTATCACCCCATTATCACCATGTTAGGGCACTTAAAGGGCCTATAAGTGGGTTAGGTACAGTTAGTTGGCGTAGAAGTACCATGAACCTCCAAGCAGGGAACCCCCAAATGAACCTCCCCATGCAGACCCTGCGAAGCTGAACGCGCCCGGCTTGCCCCCCTCAGGCTACGCGAGTAGCGGACTGGGCGCCCCTCCGCCTGGGTTTCGCTGTTGTTTTTTTTTTTTTTTTTGGGGGGGGAGGGGGGGGGGGAGGGGGGGGGGGGAGGGAGGGGGGGTGGGGAGGGGGGGGGGTTAGGGTTTAGGGGTTTGGTTTTTGGGGGTTAGGGTTTAGGGGTTTGGTTTTTGGGGGTTAGGAGCTAGGGGTGGAGGCTTGGGGAGTTCGTTCTTGTGTTGGCCTGGGATTAGGGTTTAAGGACGCCTAAGGGGTTTTAGGTTTTTCAATGTCCTTTTTTTTGGGGGGGGGGGGTGCTTTAAGGGGTTTGGGCGTTTAGGCTTTTATTCTATTCTACTATTGTGTTTATTGTTGGGGGGGGGGTACCCTGCTGTTTCGACCCCTCACAAACTTCTTAAACCCTTTCCTTGTGTTCCCCAAAATGCTTCACGTGGAAGCCCAGAAGAACCCTTTAAAACGCCAACTGTCTGAACTCGGCTGCCTTGATTCGGTTTTTTTGCCTAAAAAGGGGTTGTCAAGGGGTCCTCCCCCCCTCCCCACCCACCCGAGAAGGGGGTTTGGGTTGAAACAATGCAGTCAGCAAGTCCGGCCTCACAAAGAGTTTAAGGGGTGTCTAAAAGGTCTTCACGGCAAGTTTTTTCAACTGCCCTACGGTTGCTCCTAAGAACCCTTAACCCTTCAACCCCTTCAACCAGAACTCCCTTGCTCCCCCCCCCCCCCTAAAAAACCTAATTGAGAGGAGCCCACTGAGAAAAAATAGAAAATGCATGTTGTGAGAAGGATGCCCATGGGCCTAATATGAGGTAGGTTCGGGACAACGTCCTGTTAACGTGGCCAGCGCAGGTTTTGGGGATTTTTTTTTTTGGGGGGGGGGGGGGGGGATGTTCTGGGGCTTGGGGGCTTTGGCATTTGGGGATAGGGTTCAGGGTTTAAGCCCACAAGCAAAGCAGGCTCAGGGTTGGACCTTGGTCGCACACGGGCCTTCATGCTGTACCAACCTCCTGCCTTTCCAGAACTTCTCCAAAAACTGGCTTTTAAAAATTCCTTCGCGCGACTGGGAGGCTCATATACATGACAAGATACGCGCGAAACACCTCCCTTCGTCGGGCGCCTCATTCTTTCATTCTTTGGAGCCGTCTCAGGCAACTACGACCCAGAGTAGGCCCTTCTTCCCTTTTGTTCGGATCTAGGTTCCCTTACAAGCCCAATGAAATCAAAAAGGGCTGCCCTTTCTATTCCTAAACCCTAACCCTAAACCCTGGAGCTGTATCGAAGGTAAGCTACGGCTACTGCCTGATGGTGGTGGGCATCTTGTTCCAGTCGGTCTCCGCCGCCCTGTTCTCCTTCATGCCTTTGGGCGATGAGATGACGGAGGACAGGAGTTTAGGGTTTGGTTCGGGGTTTTGGGGTTTAGGTTTTGGGGTTTAGGGTTTGGCTTGGGGGTTAGAGTTTCGGGGACACTTCAGCGCTCAACAGCCTCAGCCTTATAACTTGTAATTTAGAAGCCCCAAACAGTCCTAACTTCGGGTTCAGGGCAGGTTCCCACCGGTCCTGTCTGTAGGTAAAGGCACTTGTGTTATCGACCGTGCCCCTCTTCTTTCGTTCCCCTTAGCACCAGAAGACGCTTGTCACACTGCCGCAGAGCCTTGGAGGATGAGCGCATGTTCCACAAGTTCGCCAAGGAGCAGGCAAGGACGGGGCTGAGTGCGTGCTGGGCAGGCATACAGTGTGTGTGTGTGTGTGTTGTTTCCTACGGCTTTGGAGCTGCAGGTCGGATGACAGGTTTGATACTGCCCGCAGCCCAATCCCAGCTAAGCTTGAGAGCTGTTCTTCATGAAAGCCCACCTAGGACCTAGGACCCTGCCAAAGAAAGAAGCCCGAATGCATCCTGGCCTTTGGTGGTTTGAGCATCTGCTCCCTTTCGCAATGCCCAAGGGTCACACGTTTTTCCCGTTTTTCCCCCGTCTTCAGGCGCACAACGCGCACATGGCCGCCGCGCAGCCGGGGCAGCCGGGGCCGCCAGGGCCGCCAGGGCAGCCGGTGGTCGGGGACCCCAGCAGATAGAAGGGTTCAGGGGATTCGGTCTCAGGGATTTGAAGGCTCTTTATAAGGGTTCATCTCGGATTTTCTCGTGATACGAATTGAGATGCAGAGCACAAAGCTTCTAGGATTCTTGGTGGACGGGTTTCAGACGCGGGCCGATTGACCGATCGCTCAGAGACAAGGGATTGACACGGCTTTCGTCCGGACTTTCGTGCCTGCAAGTGCCCGAGCTCCTAGCCCACAGTTGTGGTTTTGTTGCGCTCGTTTAGCCGTTTAAGCCCTTGCGTGCTTGCTCTGCTGCGCATAGTGTCGCAGACAAGGGTTCCATCAGCATGTTTCTGAGTAGTAGTACATGCACGCGGCCTTACACAGATGCCTGCCATGCCAGGATGGGCCGGGTCTAGGCAAAAGCGCATGGCGCATGACCAGGGGACAAAGACTCAAATCGCCGCCTTCATGCTTGTGTTTGCCCCGGCCAAAGCATGCCAGCACAGCTCGAACCTAAACGCATCAACTCGAGCACGCCAGGGCTACTATGGTGCTGCACCACCAGTACCCAATGCCGCCCAGCCGGGATACGGCTATGGCTATGGCTACGGGCCCCAGCAAGGTGCTGCAGATTTGGGGCGTGGTGGGTTTAACTTCTGAGAGGCTCAGGTTGGGGGCGCAGATTTCCTTTAGCTAGTACATGTCGACCATGGTCCCAATAGCCTGTGCATACTCTGCCCGTGTTCCACGCATGTTCCTTGGCTGATTTGCCTGCTGCTGCAGTTCGTCGTGTGAGTGTTGGTTCTCAGGGGCTTCAGGGCTACTGACAGGCTGTGTGCTGGCCATGAGTCGGCTTTGGCTTTGAGCAAGAAGGGCCACTCCTGTATCTAGATACCCCGTTTACATACATGCCAAATATATAAACATATGTAATATACGTATACATATACATACATATACACATGTATACATATACACATGTGTAAAGCACCTTATGCGTGCAAATATTGCAGTCGCCCCTATATACCTGAGTCGCCTGAAAAAATCTCGTCATATAACCTTCCCCGTTTCCTCCTTAAGCCCCTTCTTGGCGCAGGTCAGACCCCTGCTTGGTGAGACGAGGGGCATCGGACATGTGAGTCGTAGCCCAAACCTTAGACCCTGAGCCCGCCCCCCCGAGATCCTGCCCTAACCCCAGATCGCAGCTCGAACATCTGCGACCGAGTCATGCAGAGGCGGCTGTCAAAAAGCTTGCTTTGGCGTGCACAGGCTCCGACTCACCGATTCTCAGTCCCAAGGTCCCGACTTTTGTACTTGGCTACTAGTGATGAGTGTTCATGGTTTCACGCGAAACGCATATAAGGTTGCACAGCAGAGTTCGTGAAGCCCGGCTAAAAGTTCAGAGCGTAAGGCTCAAAGGACACGCTGCCCAAAGCCTCCTAACCTGGGAGTTTCTTTGCTTTGCTGCTTCTGAGGCCCTTTGAGCACACTTGTTTCTCCCATCATGACTTGAGGATGTCTAGGACGCCCAGTTTCGCCCCAGATCCCTAATATCAGCCTTTCAACATACTATGTTTACCCTACACAGGACTTTGCTCCAGGCTGGGCTCCTTTTTGGTTAGACTTGTTTTGACAGCTTGCTTTTATACATGTATATATGTGTGTAGATATATATATGTGTGTGTATTTAATATGCAGTAATGTATATGTTTAAACGGAGCGAGGGGACGCGTTGGAAATTATTTAGCTTCTGTATAGTCGGGCTGGGGAGTGTTCTCGACTGAGGTCCTCCGTGAGCCGACACGAAACGGAGCCGCTTTTCGGGGTCAAAGCCGGCAGCCTGAACCCAAGCAGTTTGCAGCATGGAACACATGGCATGCTTGACCCCGCCTTGCCCAGCGGGACTCAATCCCATCTCGAATCTCCAAGTAGTTCCCAGCAGATGAAGGCCCTAACCCTAAACCCTAAACCCTAAACCCTAAACCCTAAACCAAGGGTCGCGTTTCTGTCTAAAGAGGTGGGGTTCAACGATGGCGCCAGCCCTTGGTGCTCCTGCAGATCGAAGGCCAGGGACTTCCTAGCCAGCAGAGGGATATCTAGGACCCAGAGTAGGCCCTTAGTCCCTAGGGTTTAGGGTTTAGGGTTTAGGGTTTAGGGTTTAGGGTTTAGGGTTTAGCTTACTCTTGGGTCTAGGTATACGGAGCTGAACTGAGAGATGGTGGCTTCCATGGGGTTTCCCGGACAGGTACCTTGCAACACGGCCGCCAACCTGGAGGGTACTCCAACAAGTGAGGTTACCTGGAGTTTCTTCCAAACACTGGGCCTGAGGCCTGCATGCCCTCCAGCCTAACAACCTTGTGGGCTTTGGGCATGGAGGGAAGAAGATGTCCTTGCTGCTCCCTTGTTGTCCACGAACCGCACTCATATCTCCTCCCTGCTTCCAAGCCATCAAGATCGGGATGCGAGGTAGTTAAGCCCGAACCATTGCAATACTACACACCCTTATTATATGATTTAAAACGCTCCCCAGCGTGAAATGTAGAAGCTCCGAACCCTCCCGGAGCCCCTCAAAGGACCGAAGTATTGGAGCCCGAACTGCTCTCTTCTTAGGTGCTGCGCACAGGGCAGATGTAACCCTTCAACCTCACCTGATTGAGTATAGAAATTACCAGGCTCCTCCCTTCTTAACGACCCCAAAGCCTTTCGCCCTTCCTCCCGCCAATCTTCGCCATGGAGCTGGGAGCGTCCAAGTTTCGACGGGTGGACCTCACAACCGCTCGCAGCGTGGAGGGAGCTGCAGAGTGGCGGCTGCACAACTTGGGGGCCATGAGGACCTTCTATGCCACACCAGGCAGACCTCGAGGGGGCTGCGAGTGCGAGCACTTTCATCTGCCAGGATTTCCGGAAGTCCAGTTCACTTTCATGGTCTACCCCCTCGGCATGGGAGTTGGCCCGGTGGACTCGGCACCTGTGACTTTGGCCTTACATTTGACCGGCACTGGCTGTGAGGGTGTTGGCTTTGAAGTGGACTTGTCCCTGTCCATTCAACGGCTGGATGGCCTCTCTCAGGCAATATACTTGAGCTTCAAACTTAACTTACTTTTCCGGTTGCATATAATTTCGCAGGAGCAGGAAGTGTTATAGTTCCACCTTTTTTTCTGTTCTTTTTGGAGAAGCAAGGTAGTCAGCTGACCCAAGAGGAGCTGGGCTCTGCGCCATTGGCAGGCGCCGGCCGCGTGAGCTGCGAGAGCCTCTGGCCGGCGGGCGGTGACTCTTCCCTAATTTTAAGTCTTCCAGCTGCCTTGTGTAGATGTTCGCATTTATTCAGACTCGCCCGTCGGGATCAAGAAGTAGCGGTTCTTTCAGGGTGTTTTGTTGGGTTCCGTGTTCTGACAGTGGCCCAGGCGATGTGCTGGTGGCCAGCTGCCACGTCTTGGCCGCCCCGCCGCCATGCGGTGACCCAGTGCTCCGGCTTTCGACGACCTGGCGGCCGCCGATCCACGCCGAGCTGGATGACGACATCGAGCGCCTCGATGGTGATGACGACGAGTTTGACTAGGAAGCGATGGTGCTGTTTGCTCATGGGCCTGAGCCGTCCCCAACTTGCGCTTGGCCTTTCTCTTCGGGATGGGCTTGTGGCGGCGTGATGAATTGGCGTTGTTGGTGCAAGGCTTCCTTCTTGGAGGCAGCCTTGTCGCCATCAACTCATGGCGCCTAGCGCAGCGGCACATCCATCTCAAAGCCGATTGCCTGAACACCCAAGGCTCTGCATCAGCTCACACTGAGGCTCCTGTGACTGTGGTTGCAGCGTCCCCTCACGTGTGCTACTGCGAAGCGTCAAAATGCTCTTTACGTTGCTTGAAGCTCTTGAAGGGGGATGGGGTAGACTAGGAAGCTGATGTCCTACCAGAATCTGCCTAAGTACTCTCGAATCGAAGATGGTTTGCGCGTCTGGCTTCGGACTAAACCCTAAACTATACCCTGAGCCCCGGACTCCACATACGTCAAGAATCCAAGGCCCTTCAAAGTGGACTCCGTTGTAGTAGATGGGCGAAAATGCCAAAACAATAGACACAGCTTTCGCGTAGACCCAGCACCTTCCACCTCCTTGTGTCGGCGCTGCGAATCTTACCTAGCTTTTGCATAAAGAACCCACCCTCTCCCTAATATTGAATGTTCTTCGCATACTCGACCACGATAATGATAAGGCAATATTTAATGTGATTAGGGCCCTCAGTAAATTAAACTCCAATAAACAAATGCCGTTCTCATTTTCAGGTTGCTTAGAATCGGAGACTGCACCAGAGGTTCTTTCGAAGTTGCCGGGCTTTTCTCTGTGGGACTATTGAGAACACTGCATCCTATATGCTCGAGTAAGGCGCCACAATGACCGCTGTCTTTGACAGGCGGCGAGCATGCGCCCGAAGAAGCTTCTGACGCCAGGGATGGAGTCGATTTCGGAGGCTGCACAAACTGCAGGGGGTTTGCGGTGGATGAGGGTTGCGACGTGCCTGTTGTTCACCTCGACCGTTCTCATTCGATAAACCCCGACACCTGCACTCAAGCCCTTCGTACACAGCTTGGGCTGCCTGCTGTCCATTCGAAATTGCCCTTTAGGACTCTTAGCTGCTTGTGGTTGAGCTTGTCGCTCAAAGCTGGAATTCGAGCAATAATCGCCTTCTGGCCTTAAAGATTGCCTTTGCCCATCCGAGCATCAGATGCTCGGCGCCTGACTCACGCTTTTCGGAAAAAAAAACAGCCGCCTGCAGAGACGAGTCATGTGCCCTGGTGAGGAGGCTCAGCATCGTAAATTCCAGTGTGGTGGAGCGATCGTGCAAGGTGCACGCAAAACGCCATGACTGAACCTGCTTCTCCTTGTAGCCTCCGGTTCGAAAAAGCGCACACCGATAAAGGGACCTCAGCTCATCCAAAACCGAATGTCCCGAACCTTCTGACACCTCGCAGGTCTCAAGCAGCGGTTGGCAAAGCATACCGGCAGCCTGAGCAAGAAAAAGGAGTGTTCTGGGCCAAGGCTGACCTTGCTTTGTTGCTTAGTTTTGCGTGTCTTTAGGCTCTTATAGGCTTAGGCTTTGAGTTCAGGATGCCCGGCGCTGGCTGCAGCCTGGCCAGGGAGTTCTAGTCAACGCAAGAACCCCCGGACGGCTGCGTTGTGGCGAGGTGCCGATGTTCCAGCAAGTTTTCTGAAACCATTCCCAGGCTTGTGAAGGAGCAGTTCTGCATCCATGAGCTAGCAGGCCAAGTAACTCGGGGAACTCTTCTGGCTTATGTTCCGCATAACCGACACTGCAACAAGGCCAAGGCCGCGCGACTCGTTCCGGCAATTTGGGGGCATATCACTCCAGCACCCGGTTCATCCACAGTAGGGAAAGCCCGAAGCACTGGCAAGTACGATCCTGGTGTGTCCTGGCTTGTTGTTCCGGATCTTACACAGATGCCTCGAGGTTCCTTGGCAGTGGAGATGAGCCAAGCAAAGTGAAGGTGGCAACTCCTGTGATGTGAGCAGACTTGTGGCTCCGGGGTGCCATCCTTAGAAACTGAATGGTTTGCTCAATGAGCTGGGATACCCTACGGATGCAGGCAACCGACGACAACACCCGCAGCAAGCCGAAGGCTAGGCTAGTAGCAGGGACGGATTTAATGGGATTTCCCTGTCAGCACCTCTTCTGGAGAAGATGTTGGGGTTCAGAGCTTAGGTTCAGGGCTTCGCGTTCGGGGTCGCAGATTGATTGGCCCTTGCAATGGCGCGCTTGGCCCCCACGTCGCTATCTCTTGCGCTCGGGCGTCCGAGTGTGGGACAAGGCGAAAGGAGGGCGACTGGGCATGGTAAACTATAAACCTTTAGGTTCTGAGGGTACATGACGTCGAAGTGCGACCCGAAACGGTGGGCCTTGGAGTTCGGCTAAGCTGCTAGGCGGTTGGCAAGACGAGGGCCCGGTGGTCTGTTCCCTGTAGTTAGCAGGTCTGAACCCCCAATTTTGCATCGCTTGCCCCCCAGAAGAAACAAGCAGCAAGTAGATAATGGGGAGCTGGTCTCAACCCGAGCTTGTCCAGCTGCTGCTCCCGGCTACCGGCTGCCGCTTCTGCGGCAGAGGACCGAAGTACCTCGGCGAGATTCGGGGGCTTTGGGCCCTGAAAACATCAAGCCGGAAGGGCGAATTCTAAATCCCTACAGGGTTTCAACTTCGGCCTTTCGACTTCATGTTTGCAGGGCGTCAGGAACCTGCTTGCAGAATGGTAAGGGTGAGCGATCCCGACCAACTCCACAAGCACTAGAACCCCTCAGTGAACCCCTGTAAAAACCCCTATGCATCCCTACAAAACCTCCAAAGCCTAAAGCTAGGTCCAACACCCAAACCCCCAAATTGGGGATCGGCCGCTGAGGGCCCCGGATGACAGGGGGTTTGGGGTCACCATGCTATTGGTCAGGGCTCTTTTAGAGGGTGTAGCCGCAGAAGTTAGATGGTTCAAACAGGGTTGTAAGACTTTAAGGGCCTTTAAGGGTTTAATAGGGTTTTGAGCGTGCAACAGGGTTTTGAGGGTTTTGAGTGTTCAGGAAGCTGGGACTACAACACGCAGGTATGAGGGCTGCAGCCCACTGCTCGCAGCGCTGGTGCAGGACTCCTTTCAATAGAGGCCCTAAGCAACCCACGCCTTTCACAGCTGCCCTACAAGCCTCCAACCAAAAAACAAACACAACCCATACCCGAAAACCTCTGGAACACTCGAGACCTCAACAGCCCGAAACCCTGCAGGCCTTAGCCAGCAGATCCTTCAAGCAACCCGGAGAAACACAAAAAACAAACAAGCACCAAGGCCTCACAGCTCCAGCACCGCGCCCCCGGCCGCGCTTTAGTTGTGGCCGCCGCGGTCTGGGCGAGCCTGCGGCGAGGAGGCCCGAGGCGCGCCTGGGTTGGTAGAAGGCAGGGACTCAGATTACAGACCACGATACTATTCCTGATATCATCACTAACTATAGAGCATAAACTACCCAGAAGACCGGTTCTGCTTCACGGTACAGGCTTAAACTTTAGGGCCAACTCTGTCGGTTTGCAGGCTGCAGACCTTAGCCCCAGAGAGGTTCCGTTTGCTGCCTTCTTGCGGAGTTTGGTCATGGTCGACATCACACTGTACACTCGTCTGCTGCAGAGCGACAGCTTCCTCCATTGGAGATCGTTGGACGCAGTCGAGCAAGTCATCCTCACCCTTCTTGGGGCCCGTACAATCCCTCTAATTCCCTGGGGAAGCTGGCGAAGTAGGAGAGGATCACACAGTCAGCGGTAGGTCCTTCGTTCGCCGCGCCGCCGGTGATTCCAGTTCAGAAGGCCCCAAGCCCAAGGCGGCCACGGGATGGGCTTAATTAGAGGTGCTTACCGAGGGGGGGGGGGAGGGGGAGTATAACTTGGGCGCTACTGTAGAAGGAATTTAGGGGATCTGATATTGCTTGCTATAGGCATCGGCTCACTGGGCTATACGCTGGAATTCAGGGTTGCAGGGAGGGTTACAGAGGCAAGAGCAAGCTGACCATGTAGGTTCCAGAGAGTCCAAATAGAAAACCTCTACGTCTTATCTCCTCCGTGTACTCCTGATGGAACCCGACCCTCGGTATCTGCCCTTCTAGAAGCTGCCACCACGTCCTCAACCCTTATTTTTCAACTCTAGACCCTCACCCAGAGGGTCAAGCCAGGTTGTCTTCGTCATTGGCGGGCCAGGAAGCGGCAAAGGCCGCGTGAAAGACGGGGGGTGGGGAGGGGTGATTCCTGGGCTCTGGGTTTTGGGGGCGAGGAGGGCCAGAGGGTTCAGGGTTTAGGACCGGGGGGCCCCAGGTTGGATTCGTAGGGCTCCTGAAGTTCCTGCGCGTGTTATCGAACAAGTCGTGCAACCCTTGTCACTATGTCCTATAGGGGCTTACGTATCATGTTCGGGTCCACCGTGGTCGGGACATAGAGTCACGTGCTTCGAATCATTCTAGTCCCCAAGAGCCTCAGCGGCGAAGCCCAGGATGAATTCGAGCTTTGGTTTCTCGTGGCTTGTGAGCGTGTGCCCATGTGGGTCCCTTGCTATGCAGGTACGCAGTGCGAGACTCGAAGCAGTTGAGAATAGGTTTTTTTCTCTTGCTTGTTCTTAGTAGGGAGTTGCGGAGTAGGTTCTGTATGCAATCTCTTGCAGATTTATATGGGGTACGTAAGACATCTAAGTCCCTAAACACCCTGCTATGACCTAGGTTGTTCAGGGTTTGGGCTGCGGTCTGCCATGCCATGGTAGGCTTTAAGGGCTCTCAAGCTCGACACGAGGCTTGTGAGCTTTGAGAGTAAGGTTACTGTTTCATTATTTCTTGGGGTTTGGGGCTTGCATGAGCAGGATGGTGGTCGTTTTAGGTGAGTAGGGTTTGAGTTGACAGGGCGAAGTATGGAGACGTATCTTGGGCGTGCTGCAGTATGCTGCAGGAAGGGAAAAGAATGCGAAGGAGTGTTTCGCGGATAAGGTTGTGAGGAAAAACGCTTGCTTAGCACTTCACGCAAGCTGGATACGGGAGCCTCGCCTGCTTGCGCCAATTGTGAGAGTCGAAGCCCTAAACCCTATGTTAACCCCATAAAGCTTCGAGACCCTAACAACCCTACCCCAAAAACCCCTTTAAACCCTAAACAAACCCTAAATAAAACCTAAAAGACCCTCTGAACCCCATACAGTAAACCCTAACCTTATAGACCCAGCCGAGGAGTTCATCGCAAAGGACCTGGGCTTCACGCACCTCAGTGCCGGCGAGCTTCTCCGCGAGGCTGGGGCCAAGGCTTCGAGGGCTGTCTAGGGTTTAGGGTTTGGGGTTTTGGGTTGAGGGTGGGCACCACTAGGGCATTTTTGGGGGTCTATAGGGTTTTACAGCGTGAGGGTTTGGGGCTCGTAAGGTTGTAGGTTTTTGGGGGACGTTGAGGGCCATGGCCACGTGCCCTTCAAATTCAGCCTTTTGAGGTTCATTGGCAAATCCTTAACTTAAACCAGTTTGCATGCCTGATGGGCTAAAAACCAAGGGCCCAAGAGAATGTCAACAAAGGATCTAGGCGCCATCGTTTGCAGCAACTTCGACACACCCTCAGGCTACACCGCCCTCTCAGACACACATCAGACTATCAGAGGTATGCATCTTAAACCCTAAACCTGCTGGGCGGCTTTTCGTAGTTGCGGCTTAGTTCGTGGTGCAAGATCCTGGACTCTGCATCGGTGTTTGGCCCACACTTGCCCTCCCCCCCCCCCCCCACTTCCCCAAAACAAAGAAGGCGCCACATCCCAGATGCTTGCACGCACTTCAGCCGTAAAAGCAGAACCGTAGCCGTAAACTCTAAACTCCAACCCCTTAAGCCCTAAACCCCCTTAAACCCTAAACCCCTGATCCCTTAAAACCCTAAACCTTCAACCCTAAGACCCTAACCCCCCTCCCCCCCTAGAAACCTCAAGCTTGCAGCGAAGGAGCGGAGGAGGGAGGGCTCGGAGCTGGGCGCTGAGATCGAGGCGTTGGATGTCTTTCCTTTCAGGGGTTTAAGGGTTCAGGGGTTTAGGGCCGACCTCAGTCCATGCCTCAAAAGAGGGGATTTAGGGTTTGGGGGTTTAGGGTTTCAGAGCCGGTGAGGTAGATGGCATGCAAGACCACACTGCTGCATGTGTACTGCTGTACATCTTTGAGGCTTGGTCACGCGCTTCAGTCCAACAGTGCACCCCACAAGCCTGATGCAAAAGGATTTCGAGTTGGGGGGTCACAGTAAGTCCGATAACCTGCAGAGAGGGTAATTAAGGTCGGTAGGTACTTCTTGTTGATGCCATTGCGTGGAGTCGGGTCCTGATTCTGAGGATGCCTGGCTCCATCAGGCTCCCCTTTCTGAGCTGCACACACACACATGTGAGTCCCATGGCGAGGCCGCCATGACCAGCGGCAAGGCAGTGCCCAGCGAGGCCCCATACGGATGAACCGGAATGAGAGCTTAGGGCAGCCGACCATGTAAACTTCTGGCCCTTGAGTTTTAGAGGGTATAAAAGGGGTATATCAGGGTTCCCCGATGAAGGGCCCACATTAAGGGGCCATGTAGCTACCCTAATAGAAACTTCAAGAACCAAACTCAAAACACAGACGCCAAAAAACAAGCTGGCATGTTACCAGGCGGTCGTCATTGAGCGGGTTTTGTTTGTTCTTTGGCGGAAGGAGGTGTCTTTGAGTTGATGCACGCTGAAGAGCGCAGCAATATTTCATCGGTTGCAAGAAAAAGGCTGGGAGTCATTTGGGGTCCCGGGCGCCCGCCAGGTCATTGCCAAGCTGCTGGAGCAGGCGATGAGAGAACGAGGTGTGCGATTACAGGGCTGCAACGGCGTTGTTGTAGGGTTTCTGCTCGCCTACGAAACATTTACTCTGAAGCACAGCACAATGGCAAGGAACGTATCAAAGCGGAAGACATCATACACTTCATGGTCGGACTGGTGAAGTTGCACTGCTGTGAACATGTCATTCATCCATTTGGCCTGTGCTTATAAAGTGACCCCGATTGCCACATAAGTTTGAATGCTATGACTGCTAGACTTCCGCCTTCTCCTATGATTCCAAGACTTGATCTTTCAAAGGAGCCTGGAGTCAAGCCGCAAACTTCGTGGTGGATGGCTCCTTTCCGGAAATCTGAATGGGCCATCCCCCTGGCCCCCAGACCTACTTGAAAGTTCTAAGCACTCCAAGCTTAGGTTGGGCATGGCTCATGGGGTCGGGTTTCGGGATCTTGGCAGTCTTTCCCATTTTGACTCCTAAAACCCAGCATGTCAAACATCCTAGCTGACGGGCTCGGGCTCGCTCCAAATCCAAATCTAGGGTGTCTTCATCTCAGGCTACCCGCGCTCGGAAGAGCAGCTGAGGCCGCCATAGCTTTGTGGGCCTCATGCTGCGTTGGGGTATGTCGGCGCGTTGCACTCCATAGGCTCCTGCTTGTTAAGGGATCAACCTTATCTTAAGTTTCGGAATGGCCAAATTCCTTTTTGAAACTCTGCCCTTGGCGGCCAGGGGCTGGCAGGCGACGTTGAGCAGCAACTTGGCATGTTGGGCGGAGTGAGGGGGAAAGTTGCCATTTGGGGGTTTGTTCGTACTCGTTGTAGGATTGCAGGGTTCTTAGGGGTGGAGATTCGGGGCTTGTAGAGTCTTGTGTGCTGCGCAAGCACGGATGCCTTCAAATACACAGCTGCCTCGCGCCTGTTTCGGCTTCGACTTTCTAGGCCTCTTACACCCTGAACCCTAAATTTCGAAGCCTAAACCCCAAACCCGAAGTCTCTACCTTGGTCAAGAGAGCAGAGGCAAGGTGCAGCTGCTGTGCTGCCTCTACCTGGAGGCCTGGGCCTATGTCCCGCAACCCTGAAAATCTCTGCAGCCTTGGCCATGAGTGCAAGTGTCAATCTTCAAATGGGGGTTTCCGACATGGGTTTGTGCCATGTATCATGTCGCCAGGATCCGGTATCAGGGCAGTTCGGGTTTTCGACATAGAAGGCTTGTTTCCATTCGAGAAGAGCAATCCAGAAGCCTGAACAACCCAACCTCATCATGCCAGAAACCCCTTAAGCCCTTAAACCCTCAACCCTAAATCCTGTTTGTTTGTGTGTTGTGATGACTCAACCTATTGGCAACTCTCGCAGACCAGTATTCCAACCGCCAATTCCCTGCAGAGTGTCCGAGAGGTCAGCTAAGCGGGTGGCAAAAAAAAATCCTGCTCACAGAGTGTCAGAGAGGTCAGCTAAGCGGGTGGCAAAAAATCCTGCTCAAAGTCACGGCCTTTTTTCTCGCGAGAGCTCAGACCCAGGTTGAGAAGGAAGAGATGCGGCGGCGGCTGCTTGGCCGGGCGGCCCCTCGGCTGGCATTCACAAAGGCTCATTTTAGGGTTTAGGGTTTAGGGTTTGGGGTTTGGGTTTAGGGTTTAGGGTTTAGGGTTTAGGGTTTGGGGTTTGGGGTTTGGGTTTAGGGTTTAGGGTTTACGGTTTAGGGTTGAGGGTTGAGGGTTTGGGGTAAGCTCTGCAGAGTTTAAAGGGCTTATATTCGGAATTTAGGGTCTACAGGGCTCATAGGGTTTTAGGGTTTGTGGGGCCAAAAGGGCTTATAGGGCTTGTAGGGTTCACAAGGCTTATCTGCTTTGGGTTTATTTGATTTGGTTTGTAGGGTTTATGGGGTTTCGGGTCTCCGGCGCTCAGCGAGCTTCATGCTGAGACGGTCTCCATGCGTTCACTTGCCTTGTCTTACTTCCTCTTTCTTCTAGATAGAGAGACTGGCGATAGTTGGAGTATGGGCAGGTTTGGGTATGAGTGAGCCACTAGAAGAAACGGCCGCAAGCCCCTCTAGGCCCGAAACCATCTGTAAACCCTAGACCCTAAACCCTACATCCCAGACCCTAAACCCCAAACCCTAAGCCCTAAACCCTAAACCTCGAGTCGAACCGCTGAAAGCAACAGCTGAACAGAGGAGAACAGCACCCGAGTCGACGACAACGAGGAAGTCATCGAGAAGCGTCTATCCGGGCCCCAGAGCTGCATTTTCCGTTCTGAGGAAATCCTAAAGCCCACTTAGAGTTTAGGGTTTAGGGTTGAAGTATGTTTCCAGCTCCTCTTCCCAGAGTTGCAAAGTGGAGCCAGGTCACATTGTAGAGGGTTCGTGGGGGAACAGGTGTACCGTTGAGTGAGGTGCTGATCTTGGCTGTTGACAGGCAAAGTTGAGAGGTTGAAATTTCGCTAAACCCCAAACCCTAAACCCTAATAGGAGCTTAGGTTCCAAGGACCTTTATGGGGTTTCGGGGCCGGATCCGACTGCATTCAAGAGCTTTGCCTATAAGGTAGGGGCGGCTGTTTCGTTTTAGAGGGCTTTGGGATGTTCCCCCTTATACTAGCAGTCCTTAGTAGGGATTACAGTACCCCCGATTAAAATCCCCATGAGGGACTGTTAGTACAAGGGGGAACATCCAGTAAGGGGCAGGGTTTGCGGTTTTGGGGGTTGGGGTTTCGGCTTGACTTGGTAGTTGGGCTGTTGGGTAGATGGCGGACTCGGGGAATGCCAGGGCTCCTGTCGGCTTCAGCTTCTTTTGACGAGAAAAAACATCTCAAACCCAAAACAGCAAACCACAAGGTTTCAGGCTGACACCGAGCCTCTGCTCCAGTTCTTCAAGGCAGGAAGAGGGTGGTTGTTAGGGTTTAGGGGTTAGGACCGTAAACCCTCAACTCTACACCCTTACACCCTGCTCCCCGAGTGCATGCTAGGAGCTGTGAAGCCTGGGCTGCTTTGAGCAGCTTTGAACCTGCCAAAGCGCAAAACCGCCTTAAACCCAAGACCCGAGGGTGCGGTTGATAGGGCTTAATAGGGTTTATCGGATTCCCTAAACCCTGAACCCTACCCTGAACCCTGAACACGAAGCCCAATAGGGCTTATAGGTTCAGACAGAGTTGAGGGCACCACTTCAAGAGCCTCAGGACCTGAGGATCACTGGGTCTAGGGTTTAGGGTTTAGGGATGAGACCGGGCACCAATTTCCTTGGGCGGTTTCCCGTCCCAAAATCCTCAGAGAAGGTTGGAGCTACGCATCTGATAGTTCAACATTCCTCAAAGCCCGACGGGCAGGTTCAAGGGTATTTATTTACGCAGGATGATACGCAATAAGGTTATCGCCATACTCAGAACCGTGTAATTGGGGGGTCGGAAGCATTACGGATAGTCTCACCTTATGGTCCCTTTAGAAGTATACCATAAGAACCCCCCCCCCGCCCCCCAAAAAAAAATCCTATTAAAATCATTAAGGCCCCTAAATGAAGTACCCATGAACCCTCCAAGAAAGCCTTGTGATTCGCGAGGCCGAAGGGCAGCTCCTCACCGTGGACGGCGGAAGAGCACCCGAGGAGGCGTTTGGGTGCTGTCTTCTCTTGGGTCTCAGGGTTTATTTGGAGCGGGTTTAGAGTTTAAGGTTTAGGGTTTAGGGTTTAGGGTTTAGGGTTTAGGGTTTAGGGTTTAGGGGATCTGCAAGAAGAGTGCAGCTGCAGACGGGGAATTTTGAATGCAAATTGGGGCTGCGCCGATGCTCGCGCGAGACCTGAACTCACAGGTCTTCGGCGACATACGCGCCGAGCTGTCGGAGGTTCGAGCATGAGTTGTGGTTCTGTCTTTGGGAAGGCTTGCCGAGTCGTGTCACGCCCAGCAACCCTAATCGGCTGCGTCCAGGCTGCACAGGAAGCCTGAGAGCCGACCGTTCTGGTCGCCATGAGCGCGCCCAAAGGAGACGGGCGCTCTCCAGTTTCTCCGGGTGTCTCTTGACAGGGTCTCAGCCGGAGCCTTGCGAGAAACAGGGCAATAGCATGAGCCCAGCCCAAAACCTTACTGAGTCAGCCGAGGGGGATCATGGTAAGGGGACCCTCCAAGCCAACAAGGCAAGGTCTGACCTTCTGCAGTCGGATGCGCAAGCTCCAGCTCCGCCCGAGTCCACCTCGGTGGTTTTTCGCAGTCGCGCAGAGGCATCGATGAAAAAGGCATTGTTTTCAATGCAGAACTGCACCTGTGGGATTGAACATCTTGATGTTGGGCTGCATCGAGACATAAGAGACCCCAAAGGATCCATGGTTTAGGTCAAGCTCTAGGCACTGAGTGAAGATGTTTTTGGAGGCCTATCTGGGGGCTGAGGGTGCCGCCTAGGTTAAACGTTCCCGATAATGAACCTCCAGCACAAAGAAGCCATCCCATGAATCTACCTAGTCAGAGACCCCTTAATATTAGCCCCCGCCCCGCCCCTTACCCTCTAATATTAAATAGCCCCAGTATAGTGATATTGTAGCATATTGAGGGGGTTTTAGTTTTAATCCTAAGGGGTACGGGGGGTTTATTATTGGCGGGGAGGGGATTAGTCAGCCCCCCTCCCCCCCCCTCGAAAGTGACCACCTTAGTGAAAAGAGTTTGCGGGTGCGAGGGGGCTGATTCTTGAGCAAGCAGAATGCTCATGGTTGGGTTGACCTGTCGCGAGCCCATGCTACACAACAAGCCCTATAAAGCCTACTCCCTCCCGACACAACTCTATAAACCCTAAACAACCCCGCAACCCTGTAAACTCTCTAAAGCCTATATTCCCAAACAACTCTGCCGCTGGCATTCTCTGCTCCGCCATGGCATCCCACTGAAGACGGAGGGGAGGGGCGGGGGGGGGGAACAAACGATGCCCCAAGCCCGAAAACACTAGAAGACGATGACCCCCCCTGAAACCCCGACAAGGATTCGGTCCAAGAGCCCTGGGAATGAAGCCTCTTAACCCTAAATCCCAACGACATCTCCTCCCCAGAATCGATTTGCCCACTAATCGCTTAATTCCCCACCGCACACATACACACACAACTAAGCCATCAAAGAGACCCAAAACCCTAAGCCCAAAAGCCCAACACCCCCACCCCCCGGCCTACGCACTCCCCCGGATCATGGTCATGCGCTGGCCAGACAGGGCCCCTCGGCGTTTTCTTTTCGGGGACATCTATGTTACCCGTCTAGTGTTTCTTCTTTTTTCTTGTTTATGCAAAACCCCCGGTTGAGCTTCTTATGGTTGTGGGAGAGTGGGGTTCGTCAACTGGCGTTCGCTGTGCGGAGCTAGCTCTGCGAGTTTGTAGCTGCTCGCGCTTGCTTGCTGTCCGATGGTGAGCCGTGCTCTTTGATGGACTTAAGCCAAATACATCCAAATACCCTAAACCCAAAACCCCCAGCCCCGAAATACCCTAAACTGGCTTTGTGGACTGGAGGTGGCTTCTGTCGCGCTTTCCTTCCGCGATGCTTAAGGTATAGTTCTAGGATCCCATTGGCTGCCGGAGGGTCAAAGTCACACTGCCGAGAGAAGGTGAATTTCAACAATCTAAACTCCTAAACGGGGTTGAGGGTTTAGGCCCTAAACCTTGCAGGCTTCAGAGGTCTGTGTTAAAAAAAAACCTTGCAGAGCTTCAATCGTTCGTGGGCTTCATGGGCTCAGCATTCTAAATTCCTGAGGTCAGTTGAGCTTTTCTTCCGGGGTCTTTCAGAGGAGGGGGAAGTGGGGTGTGGGGGTTCGGGTGTCGGTCAGGGAAGTGAGTTCTGAAAGTGCCCCAAACACTCAGGGTTTAGGGTTTAGGGTTTAGGGTTTAGGGTTTAGGCTCAAAATAGCCCAAGAACCTTATACAAGAAGGGCTTTGGGCCCAAAAACCCTAAAATCAGGGTCCTTAGTACTTAGAGCCTTAGGGTAAGTTGCTTCAATGCCAAAGGCTCGGCGTTGGGGCCGAGAAATTCTATGGCCTCAGCATATGTAGGGCAAAGGGGTGCCCTGGAATACCTTTGAAACCCAATTCGTGTGGAATGAAGGGCTTTAGGTTTAAGCTGTAGGGCCAGGAGCCTTACTACGCAAGCCAGATGCAACAGGGCTTGCAGCTTTTAAAGTCCCTCTGTGCAAAAAGAGGTTTAGTGTGTAGCTTTAGGGCTTCCCAACCTTTGCCTACTGGCCGACCATATATCAGACAATGCGAATGTGATCCAATGTGTCAGGAACGCAAGCCAAGATCATATCTGGCAGGGGAAACCGCGGACAGGTTTGCCATGTCACGCTGCGCGTTTGCCACCCAAGCCTGCCATGCTCAGTATAGCTCAGTACTGCATGAGCTTGATCATCGGTCGACACCCTAACCCCTAAACCCTAAACCTTAAAGACGGCCTGGCAGGCCATAAAGACAAGATGGTCGAAAGTCGGCCCTGGACCCACACCCTTGGCAAAAGACCCTGAACCCTAAGCTCTGGACCCCAAAAGGGAACCAAAAAGACCCTGTAGGCTGCATTTGTCCACTCGCAGTGCGAGCGTCATGTTCCGTAGTGAAGGCCTTGGTGACATTGAGGGGCTTTAGGGTTTAAAATGTTTAGGGGCTTTAGGAAATTTAGGAGGCTGGGTTGCTAGCGCAGACACCCCGAGCCACAAACCTAGGCACAGCAAAGCAGAACCCCACATCCGTTCTTCACCCCCGCGGCCGGCTGCAAGACTGCAACCACTTCAACTGCAACAGCACAACTTCCACTGCCCCAGGACACAGAAGATCCCTCTTAAACCTGGGTTTGGGGTGTAGGTTTTAGAGCCAATACCAGGACTACTTGAGGTTTGAGCCTACTCCCGGCCCATTTGCTGACACAGCGGGCAATGCTTGAAAACTTGGAAGAACCTACGGCAGTATTGGAACCTCCGCTTCGTAGCTGTTCTTTGGAGGGGGGGACAGCTTTAAGCAAAAAGGGGCACCCTTTTTCATCCGAGGTTACTGGGCAACCTAGCCCAAACAGCATGGAGATCCTTGACACCCCTCCCTTTATTTCAGTGAGGTCCTCCATGCGCCCAGCCCCCTTTCGACGACAGCACCCTGCAGGCCTTCGTCGGGAGGACTGAAGCTAATTTTTTGGTTGTTTTTTAATTTTGTTGTTTTGCTTTTAGGTTTTTTCGGGTTTGCAGGGTTTGGAGGGTATACCGGGGCTCAATGGGTTGAGGGGTTAAAGGGCTTAGGGAAGAAGGTCTTTGAATCGCGGGTGTTTGGCTAGCGCTCAGCGGATCTCACAGAAGTACCTGAAGCTGCTTTTTGAAGAGCTTTACTTGGAGTTGCCCACCCTGAAGACTTTATCTGATGGCAGGGTGGTGGCTACTAAAGTTACTGAAGACTAACTCTTGGTGATGTGCTGACAGGTAGTTTGCGGCCACGGGTCCGAAAAGGGGTAGAAAGCTGGGCGTAACTTCTCGTCGATCCGCATCGAAGCGTGGCGGATCGGCAGCAGACGACGTCCGGCAGTGCCCGGCAGGCTGCCGCAACAAGAGTTGTCTGGCCGCGCGCGACGCCCTGCCCGAGAATCCTGTAACCGTAATAGTAACCCCATTGTAGGCGATGCTTCGAAACATGAAGCTTTTTGCAAACGACTGGCCCCTGGCCATGCACCAACGATGTGTGGACTTTTGGATTTTTCTTTGTCAGGCTGTCGGTTGGATCAGGCACCCCAAGGTTGCAGCAATAGAGAGCCGCATTAAGTCAAAGGAATGATGCGGAGATGATGCGCATAGTCTTCACGATTCACTAGTGCTTCTGCAGCATAGACCCGCAACTGCAGACCTCGATATTCCCGGTTTGGCTGTGTGGCCTTAAGTCCTAAACTCTCCATTTGAAGAGCAAATGCTGTCTGCAGCGACGTGGTCGCTGCATTACAAGACAAAGCAAGACAAATAGGTACCGCAACGGTACCTGATCATATTATGGCCTTGTGAACAAGTCAAATCATCTTGGTCAAATGTGCTTTTCGCCCAGCGGTGACAACCGAAGTAGCGGAGAAAGATGAAAACTGCAGACCTTCGCCTGCATTTATAACCCCCATACAAAAAAAGTAAAAAGGATAAATATATCTATATACATATATAAATATGTGAGCATCAATTAAAATTTACGTGTCCGAGACTCGGTCCAAGCTGATGATGAGGCGGTAGGGGCCGAGGAATTTCACGCGCAGTGCTGGGATGTCAGGGTAGTGTGAGCATCAGTAACGAGTGAGCACCAAACCCTACTGAAGCTTGAAGCCTTAACACCGACAAACTGAGCCTGGCGACCAAAGGCTCTCTGGACCCTGCAACCCTAAACCCTAACCCTAAACCCTAAACCCTAAACCTTAGAGCCCCAAACCCCAGTCCCGGAGCCAAGGCTTAACTATGCTTCGCCCCCTCGCCCGGCTTCTCCCGTGGCCATGGTCCTAGAGCCAGTTGCGATTCGGTGTCGTCAGAATACCCGAAACCCAAACTTTAAAACCTATCGTTAGGGTGCAGGGTTTGGGCTTAGTTTAAGGTTTTAGGGTGGATACGTTTATTCCTCATGACTCAGAGTTTGTACGATGCGCGCGTAGTACAACTCTCTCAGCTTACCTTCTTCGCACTTCCTTTGCTCAGATTCTCTTATTCATTCAGATAGCAATCCTGAGACAGTTTCGCTGCAAGCTACCAAGCTCGCTGCTCAGTCATGGGTTCTGGGTAGAGGGCTGGTCACACGCAGGCCTGGATGCAAAAGGGTCCTGTCTGCCTTCTTTGTGGGTAATCGGAGTGAGTTGATCCACGATACCTGTAATACGACTATGGCCAGGTTTCTTGGCTTTTCATGTTATATTGACCATGCCCGGCTGTGTGAAGAGCACTCGAGCACTTTCTTCGAGGCAGCCGCAATATGGACAACGCCCATGGTAGCCATGGTACTGATGTTTCCTGGTTGCTGATGACAAAGCTGCCGCGCTGTACACCCTCCAAGAAGCAACACAATGTCGCTCAGCTGCTCCGCACCATGCCAGAAGCCCACTGTTGAACTCAAACCTGCAAATCAACAACCCTCATGATGAGCGCAGCGAAGCTAACTTACCATGAAGTTCTCTCCACTAGGCCTGGCTGTGTATTACCTGCACGCAAGTACATCCAAATATCTTTATAGTCAAATCTTGAAAAGCCCTCCTCCGAGAACGCCCGGAAGCCCTTGTAAGCCCTAAAACCCCTAAAACCTCAACTCACAAGGCCTGGCGCTGTGCTGCCCCAGCACCGGTGGTCGCGTCAGCAACGGGTTTTCAGGGTTGAGGGTTGTCTTCGGAGGCTTTGCTTAGTTTGCCAAGGGTTTAGGGGTGTTTTGGGGCTGGCTTAGGGGTTTGGGTTGGGGGTTGCGACTCTCACGCTTTTCCTTGCGGCTCTTCACGATCAACGTTTAGGGTCCCGTTGCGGGGTCACATGTAGTGTGAAGACTCCGCCATCAAACAGGAGTCTCGGAGAGACCCCACGGTTTAGGGTTTAGGGTTTAGGGTTTAGGGTTTAGGGTTTAGGGTTTAGGGTTTAGGGTTTAGGGTGCAAAGATTCCTCAATCCCTAGCTAGGCCCTTGGGATAAGGATCATAGTTTTCCAATCGTTTTCAGAGGGTTTTGGTTTTGAGGGCTTCACAAGAAGGATGAGATCTACAAAACGTACTCAGGATCCTAGATTGAGATGAGGGGTGGGGAGGCGTTCCTTTCTTAAGTGGTTCCGGAAGTTCCGGGGACCCCCGACAACCCTGAAATCTCACATGTGGTCTGCGCTGTCCGGCATTTCCTGGCCCACTGGAACGAAAGGATGGCCGGGTAAAATAAGATACGTTCCATCCAGCCAGTTGCGTGAGTTGTACATCTTATACGTCTATATGCTACATCTACAAAGGTTTCTCCTCAATGGCTTCGCCCGTGCCAGCCGCCAGTGCGACAGTTTGCCAAGAGAGCCGGGATGATCCACGGCTCCTCGGCTGTCGAAACCTCGGTGGGCGGCAACAGCTGGAGCAGAAAGTCCATTTGGAGGAGAGCGATGACTTCGCATCACGGTTGCCCTGCTTGGCGGTTCATGGGTACCTATAGGGTTCTAGGTATACGTACTTCGAATTAAGCACCCATGCAGCCTCCAGGTAAGCCTTTAAAGATTGGAGTCTTGAAGGCTCATGAACTCATGTCGCCAACGTAGGGTTCACAGGTATTCAGAACTACGGTTCCAAATAAGCTTCAAAATTGTGTTATAAGTAGCTATGGGTGACTTATAGCCTTAAACCCTCACAAACCCTAAACCTTAAACCCTAAGCCTAAACCCTACACCCTAAACCAACCTGCTTAGACCATCTGAACCCCAAGTTCACGAAGCCGGTCCCTTGAGGAGCTGGCAGCCGAAGGACGCAAAGCGGCTGCAGAGCACAAGGCCCGAAACCCGAAACCCTAAACCCCAAACCCTAAACCCTAAACCCTAAACCCCAAACCCCAAACCCCAAACCCCAAACCCCAAACCCTAACCCGCCTAAGCACCTGATAGACCCCCATAAAGCCTCCATAGAGCCCCGAAGGCCTACCGAAATACCCCGAAGCAAGCCCCAAAATCCTACTTCGGAAATAGCTTTCTGAATTTCAATGGACCCTAAACCCTAAACCCTAAACCCTAAACCTCTGGAGCTTGAAAGGCGCGCGAAGTGCGGCCCGGCTGGGCTCGGGCACTGCGCGAGGCGAAGGTGCGGGATGGCACGTCCAAGCGCTCCGAGGCGCACCTTCTTTAACATAGTTGAAATAATATATACATATATATGTAACATATATATATATGTATATATACATATATATATATATATACATCGCATAATAAAACATGATATATATATATATATATATTATCTATATATAATCTATAATATTACTATTGTGGTTATTATTGTTATTGTTCTTTTTCTTATTGTTATTATATATACATATGTATATTTATTTATCTGTTTATTTATTTGTTGAGAATTGCAATTGTAAAACATAGTAAAAAGTATGTTATGTTTTCTATTTTTTTTGGGGGGGGGGGAGCGGGTTCGAAAAGTTGAGGGTTGGGCGGAATGGACTTTGTTCGGGTTCGAAGAATTGCGTTGGAGGTTTTGGTCTGCGCGAATGTTTTTTACGGCATGGTGTTTATAGACCTTAAAACCATCTACAGTAGTGTTTTGGGCTTTGGGGTTTCTAGCGGCTTCGGTATTTTTGCCTTCAACGTTTAGGGTTTATATGGTTAAGGGCTTGGGTCATCAGAAAGTGCCCAGGTGGTGGGTGCTCTCCATGAGGGCAGCCGAGTGCTCGTTGCGGAAGTGTGCGGCACGAAGGCCAGCTTTCCGTACTTCAACCGCCACACGAGTATCTTAATACAGGGGGGCCTATTGTAGGGTTGTAGGGTTGTAGGGTTGTAGGGTTGTAGGGTTGTAGGGTTGTAGGGTTGTAGGGTTGTAGGGTTGGGGAGTCAAGGTTTAAGGTTCCAATATAGGGGTCTATCCTCAAACCCTTATGCTTCGCAGAGTAATCAGCACCCAGGGTCCACAAGTACCAGCAACACCCCTCAGTCAAAGAATGCCCATCCTGAACAGAACTGACACAACACTCCTTCGACCACGGGGGGTTGAAGTTTTGGCGGCTCTAGTTCCTAAACATTGTCTGAACCATGGGCACTTTGTATGGTCCCTTAATGGCTTGTTATGCCTATAAGGGGCCCATACTTGGAACCCTGGACTTTGCCCGCAAACGCCCAAGCTCGCAAACCCAGGCCCGCATCCAACAGCCACTCTCTGGGTGGATAGCTTTGTCGAAGCACACGGAGCCCGTGCTTGAGCAGGAGAGCTCAAAGAGTAGAGGTATGGGATTGTGGCTTTAATCACCTCAGAAAGCTGTGTAGGGAACCTTAGGAATCATGGGGATGCTTGCGGGGGGCCACATGTTGGGGCACCTGAGGTTAATCCACTTCACCGCTTGACACAGCAAGAAAGCATTCAAGCATGAAGCCCAGTCAGCAGAAGTAGGGCACCAGATCTCCCGCAGTAATATAGGGGTCGGAATAAATACTAATCTGAGACACCTCCCTCCGGCTTGGTTTACCTGTCCTTGCATCTTGTGCGTGCTGGTTGCTGCGTCTACACGCCAAGACGTTGAAGAGCTATGTGCCGCACCACGACAGCTCCATCCTGGCTTGAATGGCAATAACGAGTTGGCTTGAAACAGCCAATTCTTGGTGGAAGGCTAAACGATCCAAATCCCCGACATATGCACAGTCTAGCCTTGCAATCAAGAATTGGATCCTGGATCTTAGATAGGTTCCTATCTAGGACCCCAAGAATCCAAGGTGTTGTGGATCCTTGTACCTTTGGATGCAGAAACAGGGAACATGGCATAGGTCTCTTTAAGACTATAATATGGGGGGGCCTTAATAATTAGAATGGGGTTTGGGGGGTTTCTATAGTAGAATCATAAAGTGGCCAGAAGGGAATACTAAGTACTTCCTTGAACCTGCTGCAAACAAAGCGAGAAGGAGTCGTGGCAGGCGCAGGAGGGCAAGTTGGCATCGTCTTGGGTGGTCAGCAGCGTGCTGGCGCGCCTTTCAGCTCCGTCAGCAGGAGCTCAATCCCAGGCGCAGCCGCAGCTGCAGACCCAGGGTATGTCGGAGGTACCAACCGAGCCCCGCCTTTTTACTGATGGGAACTCTTAAGCCCAATATGTACCCAAACATTCCCCAGCAAGTTCTATTCTACGGTAGGTCATGGGCTCCTAGCCTACTAGCAGCCAAGGAGAATGTTGAGGATGGAGCCGACGCAGCCTCAGCGGAGGAACCGCTGTTAGCGATCAGCACAGATACGGCTCCTCATGGCAATTTAGGGATTTAGTTGGAGTAGCTAGGTTGTTGATGATTGAGCTCCTGCCAAAACAAGTGAAAGAGCCGAAGCTATCCGCAAAGTAGTGGACTCTTGACATAAGGACATCCCAGTCCTGTCGACATCACCTCTGGGTCCAACATCGGGATCTTCACCTCTGCCGCCTACGCGCAGCTGGTGGGCTGCCCTGCGCCAAGCAGTGAAAGATGCATTTCGCTGCGCTGGATGGTGCCGATAAGCTTGTACATTTTAATGGCACTGTGATCTTTTCAGGGTATGATGTCCGAGTCTCCCGCTGTGCAGCTCGGAAACTGAACTTGTGCAGCCTCGGGAGCTCTTACAGAAGCGTGAGCGAACGCCCCGACAGAGCTGTTGGCGCCAAACTGCGCGCCGGCGGGGTCGGGATGACACGCCGCGCTTCCAGGACAGGTGCGAAAAGAGGTTATGGCCAGATGGCCTCGGCAAGACGAACATGAATATTGCAGGCACATAGGTGCCGACACCCATTCGACGTATGTGGCATACAAATTAAATTACACACGCTTGATTTTCCAGTCGAGCGGGGGCCATGGAGCCGGTTCCACGATACCGAGGTCGCTTTAGGCAGTGTGCTTTGCCGAACAGGGTGGGCACGAAGGACTTGTGGTGCTGCTGCATCCGGTCTCTGTACCTATGGGGCGGGGCAAGGGGGAGTTGGAATGTGTCTGTCTGTTGCAGGTCTACCTCAGTTATACCTCAGTACGCCAAAGCAACCGCAGAAGGGTTTGGAGCGTTTGAGACTTATATGACATGCCCGAAAATTCGAGCGTCCCAAGCATCAACACACATCCGCAGCAGATGAGTACGTTGTTGGGGTTATGACGGGGTAGAGCCGGGGCTTTCCAAACAGTCGGGTGGAGCCCCATCTTCTGGACGGACCCCACAATATGCAGGGCCCCATTTTTTGGAGACCGCCCGGCAGTATGGAGTATAGTATACGTACTGTATGGAGTATAGTACTTGGGGTATATTAAGGGTCCCAGATGCCCGCAGCCCATAGCACAGGGATTTGTGGGCATGTGCTGGTCGGGCCTTGGCTTCTCAAACCAAACGAAAATCCGCCGGCTCAGAACACAGTACTAGCACGGCTCCCGGCACCGTCGTCGGGCCAAGATGAGCGGAGGAGGAGGCCGGGTGGTGGAGGGAGCTGAGGAGTTCCGGCTTAGGGTTAGCCACGGACAGTGCATGGAAGCTGGGCAAGTTCTCTACAGTGTTTTGGGGTTAATAAAAGACATATGCATTTACATATATGTATATGTATGTATATATATATATATACATTTATGTGTACATAAACATATGTATATGTATGTTTATGCAGGGAGTTGTAGGGTTCAGTTGCCACTGTTCCATGTGCTGCCATCTTGATGTTGCTGCCGGAAAAGCCTACCTAAATCTTTAAGACTCAAACCACCCAAGTGGCAGGCTCATCTGGACAGAACTTCTGCTCCAGTAATGCGGGCTTCTCCGGAACACCGCTATGGATTCTGGGGCGGCAGGGGCTTCGAGCATTGAGAATTTTAGAGCTTAGGGCTTAGGGCCTACAGGTTGAGGGTTATTCACGCCTCACAATTGTAAATATTTGTAAATCATCGGGTTGCCCAGCCCTTATGCCACCTGGGCATTGACAGCCTTTCCTCCACCTTCACCTAGAGGTTTGAGGTCGTGTGTGTGCGCATAGTCAGTATGTGATGAGGAGCATGGCACCAGCAAAGGGTTGATCCCAAAAGTCTCAAGTCCAGATGGAGCTTGAACTGAATTTTGGGCCCTTTTTGGTAACCCAAAATGAATCACCCACTACATAGATCAAACCCCGCATCGTGGTTAGCTTTAGAATTGATGCTCACTTCTGCACCTTCGGGAATCGGCCTCGAACTTTAGAACCTCTTCATAGCTGCAAGCACGATCATGGCGGGGGGGCAGGGGCAAGTCCTCAGCCTAAAGACTGCCACGAGGAAGCTGAAACAGCAGGGCCAACTGCCGAATCAATGGAGAGAGCACGAGGAGGCACGGGATTGCACAGCACACCCCGACTGCTTAAGGCGCGCCATCCGACCACATGACACCATCAGCCCTGCCCAAGCTGTGTAGAACAGGAAAAGAGGAAGCTCTAACGAAGCCAGAAGCTCTCCAAGCCGAAGTCCTCAATGCCCAAGCTTAGTGCAGCCTTGTCCGAGTGTTGTACATGTGTAAAACCTCTTTAGGGCTAAGGGAAACAAAGCGCGCGCAGGCGAAAGAGCTCCAGGCCAAGGAGCTGCGAGCGACCTGCCAGGAATTGTTGGGTTTCAAGGGTCTTCATGGCGCTGGGAAGTCTGTGTTAAATCCACCGGGGCGGATGCAATTATGGCAGTCGCCCACGCGGTGTTCGCAATGCGCGGCTGGCTTTGACCCAAACCCTACATCCACCAAGAGTGAGCTTGGCGGGTGGCAAAAAAACAGTGTAAAACATTGTAAAGCCCTAAGCCCTAAAAGGATCAGAGGGGTGACATCAAGCCTAAACCTTTGAAGTCATGGATAACAAGGAGCCTGACCAGACCAAAACCTGCTGCCCAGGAAGAGGAGGAGGCCGCTGCGACACTGCGCGTGGTCGTGGATGCCGTCAGCCTGGGGAGGCCGCCTCTGGGGAGGGGGGCTGGGGGGGGGGCCACGTGGGGAAAGGGTAGGGCTTCTGGACTTGTGGTGATAATCTTCTTTGCAGAGTCAGGTTTGTGTTGCGGCTGTTGGAGTTTGGAGCTGAAGCGTTGTGTTTCTACTCGTTCAAGCAACAAGAGCCGCAACTCGAGCTAGAGCTCAGAGTGTAGGGGCCTGTAGGTTTAAACCACCGGCGCCTGAAGCAGCCACCTGCACCCCAAGCAGGGTGGATCTCAACCTAGTTCGCCACCTTGTCGTCAAGGACCTGAGGTCGCTTGGCATGGGGGGTCTCTCGGGTTCAGGGGTTTAGGGTTTAGGGTTCAGCTGATGCTCAGAGCCTGGGTTCAAAAAGGGTTTAGGGTTTAGGGTTTAGGGTTTAGGGTTTAGGGTTTAGGGGTTAGGGAGGGTTTAGGGTTTAGGGTTTAGGGTTTAGGGTTTAGGGTTTAGGGTTTAGGGTTTAGGGTTTACGCGCGTCCCGGCCTCAGCCCAGGGGTTAAAAAAGGGTTTAGGGTTTAGGGTTTAGGGTTTGCAGAATTCTGGGCATCAGGGTGTGGCCCCACCCAGAATCCAAGCGAATTTCCAACCCACCCACCCCCGCTTGCCGCAACCCTGCCTCCGCAACAAAAGCACGCTCTTTCCTTAAACTTGTTTATGTGATTACCCCAAACCCTAAATCCTAAACCCTAAACCCAAAAACTTCCTACTCTTACTCTGAACAACCCAGTCTTGCCCGGTGCCAGAACGTGGTCAGGAAGGTGGCCGCCAGATCCAAGATTGTCTTGCCCACCACGGGTCTCTTCGAGCCGCCCGGCTTGGGTTTTTAGGGTTGAGGGTTTAGGGTTGAGGGCAGTTTAGGGTTTAGGGTTTGGGGTTTAGGGTTTAGTTGGGCTCAATGTAGCGGGTTTACAGGGTCCAGGATTTGGGTTCCGAATTAAGAGGGAGTCTAGGGCCCCAAGAGGGCACCCTTATTCGCGCTGTTGTTCTTTGCTGTTCTTTTGAGTTCTGGAGTTACCTTCGCTTGTAGAACCCCAAGAGAGGGTCGCCGCGCTGCCCCTCCCCCGCAAATGGAAGCTCGAGATGCCACCTCCAGCCAGCAGCACAGGCCTAGTCTTCCCTTGTTACCACACCAGACCATCCAGAAGTCTCCCCATGGGCCTCAGGCTGAGGGCTTGCAGTAGGGTTTGTAGGGTTCAGGGCTTAGCCTTCTGACATCTCCGCTAAGGAACAAAGCTCCACTGCAGCTCTTTGCTTTGTTTGACGGCCAGTCTGCAGCTGAGGACAGGGTTAGGGTGGTGAGGATTAGGGTTTTGGGTTTAGGGATGCCTTAAGTTTTGTCAAGTTTCTGCTCTTGCAGGCTTACTGCAACTTCGTGCTCTTCAAGCAGCCCTAAACCCCCTGAACGTTGGGGTGCCACAGCTTTGTGAGTTCAGGGGCCTGGCCCCATGGCGGCCGAGTGCTGCGCCAAAACACTGCTGCCAAAGCTGCCTCCTGGCTTTGGGATGCTTTGGGATGCTTTGCTGTATGCTTTGTAGGCGTCTTCCTGGTGGAGTTGGGGCTGCTGTGCAGGGCTCAAAGCTTCTGCGGTCTTCGTTCTTAGGTTGAGGGCTTCTAGCGCCGGGCGTAGAACAGGGATTGGGTGGTCAGAGAGACTCTGGGCAACAGGTGACTGGTGGCTTTACATTTCTGCATGTCTTTGCTTGGTCTGTGTCGGGGTTCTGGGTTGGTGAACAGGCGCAACCCAGTTCCCCCCTACCCGCTTAACCTTTCTCATAGGGCGATGAACTTCGATGAACCACCCTGAATTCTGAAATCCCCCCTCCAAGCCTCGAGTGCGGCAAATGTTCAGCACACCGTTCTTGAGAACATGGCCCTGGTTCCCATAAATCGTCCGAAGCCTGACCCCACTCTTCGATCCCCGGGGATTTTTACATGATGCCGAAGAAAGGACTAAGGGCGTTACACCCCGTTGAGCAGCAACCAAAGCCTGAAGACCCTATGCCCTGACCCTAAGCGCCCGGGCTTCCGAGGCTGCGGAACATGTCCGCCATACCACAGGAACCAGCGGGAAGGGGGAGAGGGTCCCCTAAACCCAAAAACCCCGCAAGGGTTCTAGGGGGGAGAGGTGCTCTGTCTGACGCCTGCTCTCCGCAATGATGGTCTGGGAGCTGCCCGAAGCTTCTTAGGTCTTTGGCGAGTTTTGGTTGAAGCCGAAGCTCCGAAACCTTGAGCCCTACATCCCGAGCCTGAAGCACCCATGGTCGACAATCAGGGGCTTAGGGCTGTGGGGGGCTTTCGGCCTTAGGGCTGAAGCTTTGCCTGTGGGGCCTCTTAGGGTCGAAGGATTGAGGTCTTCATACGGCTCTGCTCTATAGAGCCCTTCTTAGCCCCTAACTAAATCTGTTGGGTCGTTCCGGGCTTTCCTGCCCTTCCCTAACCCGAAACTTCCCCCAAAGCGAAGCAATCACAGTGGGCGAACACTATGCGCTCTACGAATTGTTTTCCGTCGATCGGCCGAGAAAGTACTTAAGAAGCCATGTGCCCAAAATCTACTGTATATTGTCACATGACTGATTACGGTGGAGTGCGCCCCAAGCTCGAAATACTACTTCATCACCTGGCCAGGGCTATGAGAACGCCACCTTCATCAAGGCCTGCATCGCGCGCTAAGAACAAGAGGAGCCCGAGATCTCCCTCCCCACTTTTCTTTTGGGCCCCTTGAACAAAGAACGATCTCCGTAGAATCGCTTGTTGTGGCATCCAGGACACAACAGGCAGTGGAAGAAAAAAAGCGATAGACCGACCACTCTCAGTGAACGCACAGATTCGTCCTGACCCCTACTTCCCGCGCAGGCGTGCTTGAAGAAGGCTTTCGAGGACCTAGACAAGGAAGTTCTGCGAAATCAGACGCTCGTCAGATCCCGGAACCCAGACCCTGACCGGCCTCCTCCCCGCCCCACACACGTCTCATTGGAGCAGTCAAGCAGCTGGCACCCTTAAGAACTCCCCTAAAGGTAGGAAAGATTCTTCCTCATTCAGGGTTATGGTGTGTGATCATGAGCTTCTATTTTTGGGGGGTTCTTAAGCAAATAGCAGAGCATGAGAGGATTTTCAGAGGTCGTCTTGCAGCCTGGGGCTGTTGCTTGCGCCAAAACCGATGACACGAACCCCGTTATGAAGACTGCCCCAGGCCACGGCACGATCCATCGAGCCTGACCTGACATACCTGACTCCCTTTCCCAACCCGACACCCGAAACCTTGAAGCCCGGAACCCGAAGCTTTGGGTCGCTAAAGGCTTTATTGAAACCCTAAGATATGGCGGAGGGTTCAAAAAACGGTTCTGGGGAATCAGGGAAACCTCCTGGCAAGCGTTACATACCTTGCTGCGACCCTGTGTTGCCTTGGAGGCCCTCCGTGTCAGACGGCTGTGGCGGTGCAGTGGCACTGTTGGTGGGTGCCGCATGGCTGCAAAAAAACGGACCATTGTTAGGGCTTAGGGCTCAGGATTTCTGGGTTCAAAAGGCTCTCCTAGTTCACCTCCGGCACCTGGTCGCTAGCAGTCAGAGGGCAGAGTCAGGGACACACCTGCTGCACAAGGGATGTAGATGCCTCTAACCAAAGAAGGGCATGGTGGCGTGCCGCTGAAATCCGCTAAGTCCGCTTACGCTCAGTCACTCAAACTATAGTGACACCCTACAAGTGGGCCATGCTACAGGGGCCCAAGAACAAGCCACCCATCAGAGTGCAGAGAACGGACCGGCTGTGTGAGGAGAAGCTCTTCACAGCAGTCTGCGGCGCTTGTGAGCTTGTGCCTCGCATTCAATGAAGGGCACCTGACCAGGCTAAGCCCCACAACCCCCTTCTTCGCCTTCACTTCAGAGCGCACCAGTCTTTCGCCTTTTTTAAGAGAAGAGCATTCTTTGGCAAAGAGGGCTGTTCGGGGCACCCTCCTTTCCTTGCTGGAGGCATCCTGAGGCTTCCCCCCCCCTCCTCGCCCCGTAGCAACAAAACCAGGCAAACTGTCAGGGCATCTTGGTGACTGATGTGCATTCTTAGCCGTCGTCTGCTGTGCATATTCCCCCCCCGCCCCCCCACCCCACGGCTTGATATAGGCCGAGGTCAGCATCTGCTTGGAGCATTCATGTTGATACAGTGTGTGATGCTTGTGCAGAGTCGAAAAAGGCAGGCGAAGCCTAATCATGCAGCAACCCGCAAGCCTTGGGGCAATGGTTGAGACTGATCAGTTACAGGGTCTTACCCCCGCTGGCATTCAGCATGCTGCTTCACACCGCCACCAAGCGAAACCTGCGTGACGACACAAACCCTGTTGTCGCCGAGACCTTGCTCGAAGCGGGCGCGCGGAAAGGCAACAAGCAGGACATGTGCAAGGCGCCTTGCCGTAAGAGCTTATGAAGCTTGCAGCTTCCTGCTCGCCATACAGTTTACCGAATTGGGCGGAGACCTCGCTTGCCAGTAGTTGAAACTCGTCGGCGAGGGGCACCCTAAGGTTTACACAACTTTCCAAAGTTCCCTAAACTCTCAAGCCCCCCTAAAGCCCCTAAACGCCCTAAACGCAAACATCCCTAAACTTGCCCTGCAGTGCGGGGTGGCAAAAAGCCTAGCCACCCCCCCCCAAAAACCCTAAACCCTACAGCGCGGGTGGCAGCAAAACCCATAAACCCTATAAACCCTGTAAACCCTATGAACCCTATGAACCCTATGAACCCTATGAACCCTATGAACCCTCTAAAGCCATAAACCACAACCCCCTTGCCCCACCCCCAAACCCACTCATGAAGCCGAGCCCTGAAGCCCGGAAAGGCGGTGAACATGGGGGCTCACCAGGGCAACTTCAAGGTTCCCGAGGATCAGCCCCTTGGGCCTCCTCCAATTTGGGCGTCTCAGGGCTAGGGTTTCGGGTTTAGGGTGCGGCTGGCACGTGGTTGAGAGAAAGCTGCGCTTAATACACATATGTATATATATATATATATCTAGCAGAATATGACAGCATAGGAGTGGTATATTGCATTTGAAAAGACAGCTGGGTTGTTTGTGCTGTGAACCACCACAGTGGTGGTTCACACCCAGGTCCCATCACGCATACCAAGTTGGAATCCGAATACCTGCCAGTTTCCCGCATGTCCCTAGTCCTAAACCCAGGCTAAACCCTAAACCCTAAACCCTAAACCTGCAGGCTAAACCCAGGCCCACATGTTCAAGCCCAGGAAGTTCCTCCAAGACAATGGTGGGATGGTCTTCCCTGGGGAAGGCGGCAAGCTGATGACCAGCAATCCGCAGGGCGCGACCACGGCGGTCTCCAGGCAACGCTGCTTTGAGTATCTTTGAGTTGCGCATCTGGCGCTCGGATTTGCTTCATCGTCTGCAAGGGCGTAGAGTTGAAGAGGGTGCGGCGGTTGCATAGATACGCAGTAGGGCGCGCAACGCAATGAAGTGCGTAAGGGTCGGGCATTAGGGCCATATTCCAGGGCTGTCGCCCATTGTCCTGAATGTTGTCCTGCCCGCTGTCGCGAGCACGCCGCATCACATGAGTGCCGTTTTTGCACCCTAAACCCTAGCCTTAAACCCCAAACCCCAAACCCTAAACCCTAACCCTAAGCCCTAAACCCTAGCAACCCCCCCACTTCTCGGCAAGAAACAATCACCCGAACCCTCAATGACTCAAGGCCCGGAACCGTCCTCTCGACCTCCCTGCAAGGTTTCCGACATAGCCGTTCAAACCAAGCAGCACCTTCTTCCGTCATATCTTGGGATGTTCCCCCTTAGTTTCTGACAGTCCTTAATCGGGATTCTAGAACCCCCGATTCTAATCCCTATGAAAGGGTTGAAGGACTGTTAGTACTGCAAGTATAAGGGGGAACATCCCAAGTCATATCTTTGGAGCCTTCCAGAGCCCCCTAAACCCTAAACCCTAAAAACCCTAAAAACCCTAAAAACCCTAAAAACCCTAAAAACCCTAAACCCTAACCCTAAACCCGAAACCCTAAACCCTGACACCTCCGGAGGTCGATTGGGGACCGGGCATGGAAGGGATCCATGGGAGGCCGAGCTGGCACTTTCCGGAGGGCTTATTCTGCTGTTACATCTGCATCATGTTAATCTCTTATGTTGTCGTCTTATGCTATGTTGATTTGCATAGTTTTTTTTTTTTTTTTTTTGGGGGGGGGGGGGGTCGGGCTTCGGTTGGGGCTGGGGGTTGGGGTGCAAAGAAAGAGAGATTGAGCGACTCGGAAGTTCAGATCTTCTCAAGGCGTTTTCAAGCGTAGCATTAGGATTTTGAGGGAGTTTGGTTTGTGGTAGAGTTGCAGGGGGCAACGAGTCGACTGAGGTCATCTTGACCATGCGAGACCCAGACGTTCAGAGGGCGAATGCAACTTCCACGAACTCGATATCCCTAAACCTTTTCCCCCCACTCCTCCTTTATGTCTGCTCTGCCTCCAATCCACAACTTTCCCCATTGGGTTTTCTTAACCCCCTCCAAAAGACTTTTCCGTGAACGTTTCTTCCGTCACGAACCCCGCCGTCGTGGACTTTTGTGCTCGAACCCTGCCAAACCTAACCCTTACCCACACGGTGTCTTGCGTCAAGCCCTACGCCCTGTAGTGAGTGTCGAGACCCTTCAGCCATTAGTAGCAGACCAAAGAAGAATGACACGCAGACAGCTGCAAACCCTGACACGAGTGCACGCCCACCTCGTCTTGACCCAAACCTTGCCCCGGAAACCCTAAACCCTCCCTCAAGAAGCCCTAAAAAACCCAAAACAAAGCTGAACCCACAACTCCCAGGCATGCCTGGTAGCCTCAAGCTCTTGCGAAGCGTTCCAGAAACCAAACATACGGAGCCGTTCCTGATTTGGGCCTGGGGTTTGTTGGGGTCTTGGGTTTGGGAGTGCAGGGCTTCGTATGGCTTGGGGCTAAGCATGGTTTAGGGTTTTGGGTTTAAAGTTGGGGCTTGGCTTTTTTGGCTTGCACGGCTCATCGGGTGCAGTCTTGCGCTAAAGCCCTTACCGAAACACAACAGTGAGTGAGTTGGCTTTGGCTGCTTGCTCTTGGCATGCCGAGCAAAGGGATCCAAGATCCGTATAACGCCCAAGTACTCGTCAACTCTCCCAATGCAAGGAAGCACGTCGTAGCATGTACGCATCAAAGCCCTAAACCCTGAGCCCTAAACCCTAAACCCTAAACCCTCAACAAGGACATCTCCTGGGCAGACCGGCATATTGCCTTGGTGCTGAGCTCCACGCCTGTGCCGGCGGCCATGCCCAGCCCACAGGACACCAAAGTGTTTCAGAGCTGTTTTTGGGATGGCCGGGCTTCCGAAATTTGGGTTTAGGGTTTAGGGTTTAGGGTTTTGGGTTTTGGGTTTAGGGTTTAGGGTTTAGGGATCCCGAGTCCTGGATTGCTGGGGATTGGCGAGGCAGGCAGTGGTGAGGAGCCCTGCTGCAAAAAGGGCTTCGGGGTTGGGATATTAGGGGGGTTTCCCGAAAATTGGTGTGCGTACCGGTTCTTGGGGGGTTCCTAGAAAAGGCTTCTCCTATCTCGGGGTACGCGCTAAGGTGAAACCCTCAACCCTTATATCCCTAAACCCCAAACCGAAAGGACGCTAGCGCAGAAACCCTAATTCTGCACGGTTGCAGCAGGGTGCTTTGTTTGTTCTCGGGGGATGGTGGTGCCTTTAGGACACCCCCCCCCCCGGCCGCCGCCTTGTACTCGATGCACCAAAGAGTTTCATGGTTTAACGGCGCCGGCCGAAAGGGCTTCATCACGACAAGACCCGCCTTGCAGCGGCAGGTTGCCCTGACTGTGTCCGACTTCGAGTACAAGCCTCGGGCAGCTGGGTTCAAAATGGGTTCGGACATGTCTTGGTCTTGTTTCTTTTTGTTTCTTTGGGCTTGGGATAACGCATCACAGCTGGGTGCGTGGAAGGTTGAGATAGCTTTGTGAACGTTTGCAACACCTCAAGCTCTGAAGCTGGTAGCAGCCCTGGGGTGTGGCCTGCCAGGCGGCTAGCGGCGAAATCGCCAACCGTGCAGCACTGGCGCCACAGAACGCCAACGCGCCGCTTGCACGAAGCTCTCCAACACATAGGTAGCCGACAACCTCAGAGAGTCCATAGTCAAAAACCTCGGAGCATCTGATCAAACCTCCATGCATCAGCCGGCGAAAGCTGTTTTGTGCCCTCAATACAGCAACAAAGAACGAGGGTGATCAAATGGTTTTGGCATTTAGGGTTTGAGTGTGGGGTTCAGGATGTTCAGGGGTTTGGGGGTCTGGGGTTGGGGTTTGAGGTGAAGGGTTGCTAGCGGAACAGAGGCTGGGTTTTACGACAGGGTTCCTAGTGGTCCCATCGTCTGACATAGAGCGCTGCTGAACCTAAAGGTACAGACTTTCTGCTTGGAGTTTTGAGTTGGACCCCTACAGGCAATGCACAACCATCGTGGTGTACTTCGTCCCCAAGGACGACCGCGGTGTCGTCGAGCCGGCCGCCAAGAGAGCCAAGAAGGACAGCTCCGCAAGCACCTTCAGGGAACGCGATTGCGTGAGGCGCACGTCCCAAAATTGCCTCAAATCCTCAGCCTCAGCAGGCTAAAGTCATGGAGAACGAGGAGTAGAGTAAGACGTTTTTCGGCCCTTATAAACGCCTGTCAACTTCGAAGCCCCAGGAAGCTGAAAGCGTGCGCCTGCGGCACATCGTTGCTCTTTGGCGGAGTATGAAAACGGAAGAGGGGTGGTAGGATTCGGTAGAACTGGGTCCGGGTCTGGCTTCCACGAAGTCACCCAGGAGCCTGATCAAAAGTTAGGAACCCTAAGTAAACCCTAAACAGGGTCTGGATTGAAGGGTTACGTTGGGCATGCAACCTTGTTTCTGAGCGTAGTGGACCAACATGGGGTTCGATCTCAAACAAGCACGCATTCGTAGTGGTTCTTAGTCCCTTAAAGGTAGGTATAGGGAGGATATTTGGTACCAATTTTCCAAATTCCCTGTTCAAGAGCTAGCTTCAGTGCTGCCCGTGAGCTGGCGAGGTGCGACATCAGGATTGCTCATCGCCGTTCGATCCTGTTCGGAATGTGTCTGGACTCAATCTTTCTGTGTCTTCCTGAGGTGGGCGCCCTAAACCCGAAACCCTATGTCATCTGGTGGCACCTCGAAAGGGATTGTAATTTACAGAACTTCCCTCCCCTTGGCGGGTCGGGGCTTCAGAAGGGAAGTGAAGGTTTTTTGGGGACAGGTATGTTGATCAACTACCAATCGACAAGAGCCATGACGAGCGATCGGGATGCAGAGCCTGATTTTGTGATTGCCGCACCAACCCAGAAGGGAACCTGGACCGACTCCCCTAAACCCTAGACCTTACACCCTAAACACGGCTCAGTAGGGTTTAGGGTTTAGGGTTTAGGCTCAATAACTCAAAGATCTCAGGTGCAGGTCCAGCGAACGGCTCAGGCCACTCTTGCTGGAGGGCTTTGCTTCCCCAAGCCTCCCTCTCCTTAAACCCGGTAGGATCAACGACTGTCCCCGCTTCTTCTGGGCCAAGGTTTCTCCCTAAACAAGGCTGACTATGGGGTACTCCAAAAAGTTTTTTTAAGGGGGGAACCCGGGGGGGGGGGGGGGGGGGGAGTGTCCAATGATACACCCTCAGCCTCAAAGGACGACATCTAACATCACACACACACACACACACACACACAGACATAGAGTGCGGACTCCTAGGGGTTGCGGGCTTTGGGGTTTGGAGTTCGAATCTGCACAATGACATATTCTAGGCCCCCACATAGGCCCACGGATACATGAAGGCGGATTCGGTTTGCCAGAGCGTTTAAGGGCTGCTGAGGGTTTCGGGTGCATGGAAGAAACCTGAAACATAACCCACCCCTCCGCGCAGGGCCCTGGTCTGCCGAAGTACTGATTGGGTTGGGGATCAAGGCTTCAAGACCGTATAGCCTGTCTTCAGAAGCCCCAACCCCTACAAGCCCTAAACCCTAAACCTTAAACTACCCTAAGCCCTAAACCCCAAACCTGAACCCTTCGAACTCATTCCAAGAAAGCTCAAACCCACGCATGGGCTCCGCATCCCTCGCGCAGGAGGCGGAGGGGATCCTTCGAGGGGCGCTCCAAGAGCTGATCACCGAGGCCCCTGGTCATTTCGTTAGGGTTTAGGGTTTGGGGTTTGGGGTTTAGGGTTTCGGGTTAGGGTTTAGGGTTTAGGGTTTAGGGGTTGAATGGTGATTCTGTGGCGTTTCGGCATATAAGGGTTTAATTGGGATCTGTGGGGGTTTGGGATATGGGAGAACAGGGTGTGAAGCGCTTGCAGGCAACAATCCACCCCGCCCGCCCCGCATCACCTGGCCAGGCGAAGACCATCAAACTGCCTGCGGGGAAGAAGGCCCGTCGTTCTCTGCGAGCGGGCCAAGCCAAGCTTGAGCTTCCGTGCATGTACGTTACCTTGTGGTGCTTTACTGTAACTTTAGATCCTTATGGCCTTTTTGGGTTTGTTGGGTTTCTTAATAAGGCAGCCAAAAAACTAATTACTACCCTCCTAAGTGCAGCCAAGGGTAAGATACGTACCGCACATGTATGTACCGCTGGCGTGTCGTGTCTGGTGAGGCTTCTGTGCAAAACAAGATGTTTGTAGCGACGCGCAAGTGTAATTCACGTGCATATATACATTTATATATATATACATGTACATATATATATATACACATGCCCCAAACAGTGTGCCATCCCAGGTGTTTGTACGTAGGGCAAAACAAAGTTAGATGAAGTTCCGCGAGCAAGGCGGGCGTCATTCCTCCAGCGGTGGTCACATTTGTGGACGAAAGGAATTGTTTTCCACAGCGCGGGTGGTTGGATTTCTCGGGGCTTGAAACATCGCGAGTTACATGCTTGTGGCTTTGTGGATGGTGTCGAATCGCGCTTTCGCCTAGGTCCATTGCGCATGTTGTCGATTCGCGATGTTGGCAATCGCGCAACAGCCAGGCGCCGTGCCCATCAATGTCGCCATCCTCGTAACTGTCGGCTTTTGGACGTCTGTGTTCGCGAAATGCGAAACTGTCGTCGCCTTTGAACGTCTGGCTTCGCGAAGTGCGAAACTGTCGTCGCTTTTGGACGTCGGGGTTCGCCAAATGCGAAACGGTCGTCGCATCTCGATGTTTTTGGAGGACATCCGGACCTTTGGTGGCTCCACAGTCGACTGTTGTAGTAGAAACTAAACATAGTACGCTGAGGACGTCCAGAGCTCCGGGGGCTCGAAAGTGGACTTTTGTAGTACAAAGGTACTACACGGAGGATGTCTGGAGCTCCACCAGTGGCATCAAAAAGTCGTTCTTTAAAGAATTCGTGACCCATGAAGCTCTTCGTGTCCCATGAGAGGTCTCTCATAGTTTGGGGCCTAGGCTGGCCATCCATATATATATATATATGCCTATATCATGGCATGATATATTCTATATGTATGTATATATGTATGTATGTATGTACGTATGCATGATGTATGCGAATGTGTGTGTGTGTGTCTGTCTGTCTGTCTGTGTGTGTGTCTGTCTGTGTGTGTGTCTGTCTGTGTGTGTGTCTGTCTGTGTGTGTGTGTGTGTCTGTGTGTGTGTGTGTCTGTCTCTGTGTGTGTGTGTGTCTCTGTGTGTGTGTGTGTGTGTGTGTGTGTGTGTGTCTGTGTGTGTGTGTGTGTGTGTCTGTGTGTGTGTGTGTGTCTGTGTGTGTGTGTGTCTGTGTGTGTGTGTGTGTCTGTGTGTGTGTGTGTGTCTCTCTGTGTGTGTGTGTGTCTGTCTGTGTGTGTGTGTGTCTGTGTGTGTGTGTGTGTGTGTCTGTGTGTGTGTGTGGGAACTCTGTATCCAAGAGTAAATCAAATTTTGAGCTGATCGATGGAATGGCCTATGTGACAGTGCAGGGGGCCCAAGGGCTACTGGATGGCTTGGGCCAACGAAGACCCATCCAGCAAGCTGTGGAAACGTACCTGCAGAGTTTTGTCGAAATGACAGCCTGATGTTTCACTCGCTGAGGAGACCGATGAGTGTACAGAAAAATGAGGGTGTGCTCATTCGATTTCTTGAAATGACAACCCCTTTGAGGGAAATGCCATATGTGTGTTTCGGCCAGTTATTCTGACAAAGCGCTGGTCGTGATGGGCATCTGCACAATGCCCCGCAGTGTTCACTTGATTCAGAGTGACACCCTTCAGATGTTCAGTGACCATTCCGAGTGCATCACCATCAAATGTCTAGTTCATTACTACTTGAGCCACCTGGCACCTGGCTCCACCATCTCTTGTTCAGGTACATCACCCTGACATTCGTTCATCTGTCTTTGCTGAATTTGATGTGTTCAACCACCAGTCCTTGAGCAGAACCATTTCTTGAGCAGACCCAGCAATCTGTTCAGAGACCTTTGAAGTGAGAGGGCAGTTGGTTCATGTTTTCACTGACTGCCTTGTTTAATGCTGAGATACACTGAGCAACACCCTGAAGATCCGCTGGGATCTTTGCTTGTTCAGTGACCAGCACCTGTTCAGTGACCAATACCTGTTCAGCGACCATTCCTTGTTCAGTGACTACCGAGTATTCAATATCGAAGGACTGCCTCGGTTCAATGCTGAGCTGTTCGATCTGTCATGAGTGAACACCGTCAAGATCCTGTGTGATCTGTTATTGCTCAGTGACCAACAGTTGTTCGTCATTTTTCTCCCTGAGCCATGCCGTAGTGATCTTCAAATGTTCAGTGACTAACAACTGTTCAGGGACCCGATCGAGCCTACGCTCAAGCTATCTTCTTCGGGAGGTTTCGGGGAGGTTTCAATAAAGGATTTCTGTTCTTGCTTTTCAGGAGTTCCAAGTAAAGGATCTTTGGGTTCTCTACTTTCTTCTCTTTGCTTCGTGTAATAGTGGGGTGCGTGCGCCAGTGTTGAGGCTGTGCCACGTCCCGTTATACTGTTCTTCTCTAGACGGGTCGCGTGCGCCGGCGCGGGGCCGTGCCACGCCCTGTCTCACGTTCGCCTTGTTTTCGCTGCCGCCTTCGACGTCTTTTGTTGTCTTTCTCTGTTTAAAATTGTTTCTCCCTTTCTTTTCGTTTTTGTTCTTCCCCCCCGTCACTCAACTTGCTAGTACCGATATGAGTAGTGACGTTGCTCGTGAGCAGAGTTGGGGGACGGGGGAGAGTCTTCGGCTTGTTCTTTCATTGAATGGGAGTTGGGGCGAGGGAAGGTTACCAAAGATGATCTTTCAGACAACCGGCATGACCGGATTTGTGTGTGTGGGAACTCTGTATCCAAGAGTAAATCAAATTTTGAGCTGATCGATGGAATGGCCTATGTGACAGTGCAGGGGGCCCAAGGGCTACTGGATGGCTTGGGCCAACGAAGACCCATCCAGCAAGCTGTGGAAACGTACCTGCAGAGTTTTGTCGAAATGACAGCCTGATGTTTCACTCGCTGAGGAGACCGATGAGTGTACAGAAAAATGAGGGTGTGCTCATTCGATTTCTTGAAATGACAACCCCTTTGAGGGAAATGCCATATGTGTGTGTGTGTGTCTGTGTCTGTGTGTGTGTGTGTGTCTGTGTGTGTGTCTGTGTGTGTGTCTGTGTCTGTGTGTGTGTCTGTGTGCGTGTGTGTGTGTGTCTGTGTGTGTGTCTGTGTGTGTGTGTGTGTGTGTGTCTGTGTGTGTGGTGTGTCTGTGTGTGTGTGTGTCTGGTGTGTGTGTGTGTCTGTGTGTGTGTGTCTGT